CCATCGAGGGTCACTGGGATGCCCGTGTTCTCCCCCCCAGTATGACATCGAGGGTCACTGGGATGCCCGTGTTCTCCCCCCCATACGCCATTGAGGGTCACTGGGATGCCTGTGTTCTCCTCCCCCCCAATACAACATCGAGGGTCACTGGGATGCCCGTGTTCTCCCCCGCAATACGACATCGAGGGTCACTGGGATGCCCATGTTCTCCCCCCCATACGCCATTGAGGGTCACTGGGATGCCCGTGTTCTCCTCCCCCCCACCCCCAATACGCCATTGAGGGTCACTGGGATGCCCGTGTTCTCCTCCCCCCACCCCCAATACGACATCGAGGGTCACTGGGATGCCCGTGTTCTCCCCCCCATACGCCATTGAGGGTCACTGGGATGCCCGTGTTCTCCTCCCCATACGCCATTGAGGGTCACTGGGATGCCCGTGTTCTCCTCCCCCCCATACCTGACACATTCTGTCCTCTTTCTGTAGGTGCACCTTCCGCTTCCCCAGCACAGCCATCAAGATCCAATTCACGTCGCTCTACCACAAAGAGGAAGCACCCACGTCTCCCCTCCGGCCGCTCTACCCACAGATTTCCCCATTGAAGATCCACATTCCGGAGCCGGACCTCCGGAGCATGGTCAGCCCCGTGCCCTCCCCGACCGGCACTATCAGGTATGTGCGCTGCCCGCTCCCTCAGTCACCTTTCTCTATCTCCCATAGTCTATGGGGAAGCTTATGCATAGTTCTACTTTCATGGACCTCCCATCTGTCAGTCTGTCGTGCTGTGTTGGCATGTGTGTTGCTGAACTACCCACAGCTCTCAGCAGATCTTCCAGACAAAAATGGATGAAAGAGGACTTCTGAAAAACTGGAGCAGTGACAATCTCACAAATAGCAGTGACCACTGATACGGTGTGGAAAATGAGAGGAAGGTGTAGAGCAGGACGGTGCTTCATTCTGTTGGACAGATGTTCACTGTGAGTCAGAACTGACTCCACTGAAGATACCCATGCCTGTGTCCATTCCAAAGAAATACAGAAATTATTAAACAGTATCATGATTATCAAATGCAAGTAAATTTGACTCAAGATAATTCAAAGACATTGTCAGGAAACTACCAGAAATTCAAGCCATGATACTCAGCAGAGGACATGAAAGAAGAGATAGCTGATGCTAGATGGGTTTTAGCTGAAGCAGGAAATACCAATAAGATGTTTACTTGTGTGTTATTGACTGTACAAAGGCATTCAACTGTGTGGACCGTAACAAATTATGGATAACATTACAAAGGATGGGAATTCCAGAACATTTAATTGTACTCATGCAGAACATGTACATAGACCAAAAGGCAGTCATTAGAATGAACAAAGGGATACTAAATGGTTTAAAATTAGGAAAAGTGTGTGCCCGATTATATCCTTTCACCATACTTAGTCTGTATGATGAGCAAATAATCCAAGAAACTGAAGAAGAATGCAGCATCAGGATTGGAGGAAAACTCATTAACAACCTGTGCCATGCAGATGACACCAACTTGCTTGTTGGAAGTGAAGAGGATTTGAAGTACTTACTGATGAAGATCAGAGAATACAGCTTCCATGTGGATTGCATCTTAACACAGATCCTCACAACTGGACCAAAAATCAATAAATATCATGATAAATGGAGAAAAGCTTGAAGTTGTCAGGAATTTAATTTCACTTGTATCCACAGTCATTGCTCATGGAAGCAGCAGTCAAGAAATCAAACAACATATTGCATTGGACAGATCTGCTTCAAAAGACCTCTTTTTAAAAGTGTTAAAGAGCAAAGATGTCACTTTAAGGATTAAGGTGCTCCGTGATCTTCTCATCCCCTTCATGTGCATGAGCTGGTGGTGGTGGTGTGCTGTGGAGTCAGTTCCGACATATAGAGACCCTGTATAGGGTTTCCAAGACTGTAAATCTTTACGGGAGCAGAAAGCCTCATCTTTCTCCTGAAGAATGACTGGTTGTTTTTAACTGCTGACCTTGAGGTTGGCAACCCGACTCATAACCACTACGCTACCAGAACGCCTTTATATGCATGTGAAAGCTGGATAATGAATCAGGAAGCATGAAGAAGAATTGATGCTTTTGAACTATGGTGTTAATGAAGAACATTGAATGGAGTGCCAGAACAAATAAATCTATCTTGGAAGCAACACAGCCAGAATGTTCCTTAGAACAGAGGGTGATGAAATTTTAATCTCACATACTTTGGATATGTTATCAGGAGGGACCAGTCCCTGGAGAAGGACTTCATGCTTTGTAGGTGGAGGGTCAGTGAGAAAGAGGAAGACCCTCAAGGAGATGAATTGGCACAGTGGCAGCCACAATGGGCTCCGACATCGCAGTGATGGGGAGGCTGGTGCAGGACTGGGTAGCATTTTGTTCTGGTTTACACACGGTCATGTGAGGCAGAACCAACTTGATGTCACCTAGCAACAACAAGATAATGGTTCTGGAAAATCGTCTGTGAATGGAAAATTGGAAGCTATTTTAGGTGCATCGGGGAACCTGACAACATAAATAAAGTCTCTGGAGAGTTCTCTTCTAATGTGAAGAAGCACCACTTAATTTATCACTTTTCCCAGATGGAAATTTCATATATTCACGTCTTTTCAAGCAAGCACCGCTGTGATTTTTTTTTTTTTCTTTCCTTTTTCTCCTAAGATACTAAAAATGTTTTTAAGTATAATATTTCTGCACTAGGATATGGTGAGCTTAGCTTGTCTAAATTTCATTGGTGAAACTTCTTTGAGAAGTTGCATGAATGGCTCTACATTTTGAGGTAGGGAATACCCTGTTAGACTTTCTCATCTTGCGGGAGGTTTCAGTGTCAGTGTTACTAGATTTCCTGGTAGCCAGCAGCTAGTTGAGCAACTCAGACAATTGCCGTGCTGCTTGTCCAGGAGACATTTGTTGTTCGCAGGGACGAAGCCTTCATGCCTATTTGTTTCACCCTACAAGATGCTACCGAACCAAAACCAAACCCATTGCCATAGAGTCAGTTCCGACTCCTAGTAAACCCTGCAGGACAGAGTGGACGTGCCTCCACAGAGGTTCCAGGGTTCTTTACGGACGCAGATTCCTATCGAATGCCACAAAAACATGTGTTTGAGATTCAAATTGTATTAAAATTTTAAATGACCTCCTATGCTACTGAGGACATTCCTCAGTGGACTTGGTATGCCCTCTTCTCCCATAAGTGCATGGCCGAGGGCCCGGAAAATGGAATGAAAGAATAATGGAATTTTCCACACACCTTATGTGGGGGGGGGAGGGGGCATGCGCATGCATACCCACTTAATTGATACATAGATCAGAACTGTATGCACTGAAATGGTGCCGCCTCTGGGAGAAGATCCCAGGTCAGAGGGTCATCACACAGTCCTAGTTGCATTTCTAGGTGTGGACTCACAAGAACAGGCAGTATGTGCCCACCCAGAAACATGAGCGCAATTGGTCCCCGCAGCGTCAGAAAGGGAGAGCAAGCCAAACATCCAAACGAGATGAAACAGTGTGCTCTGTCTGCCCTACCAAGTGCCTGAGTAAGACATCGGTCACAGAAGACCACACCCATCGGAGGAAAGGCTGAACAGGCCATCTGTGAAGACAGAACTAGCGCAGCGTTGGCAGAGACTGGCTGGTGAGGGCTGACCGCAAACCGGTGCTTGTCAGCATCCTGGGATGGTCTGAAATGGATTCTGCTGGTGGCTGCACAACTCCGCACTTAGACCAACACCATTGAACTTAAGAGGGTGGATTGTGCAATCTGCATTACGCTTCAGAGCTGTTTCAGAAGTTACCATCAAGCAGGCTCATTGCAGACCACCACAGTCAAGCCAAGGTCGTAGTCAAGTGAGTTACACTTTCGGTTTCCCAACTCAGATCCAAGTGGCATTTACACTAGACTGCTGTCTGTGAAGTGTGTGATAGCATGATGAAAATGTTTGAAATCTTGTGATTATTAGCAAAACGTGACAGAAACCTACAGTGAGCCACTGTTGGGAAAATGGTGCCGATAGACTTGCAGGACGCAGGGTGGCCACAAACCTCCCATTTGCAAAAAATGCATTATCTACAAAGCACAATAAAGTGACTGAGGGTGTTTATACTTAGATCTTTACCGTCTGTCTTTAGCACTTCAGTGCCTGTGTCTTGAAACAGCTCTCAAACAGTAGCCACGGCTGGTCCCACCCACCAGGAGAGCCACACACTTGGGCAGCCACTGTCCATCCCAGTGTGGGGATGGGATTCACGTTGCAGCCTCAGACAGGCTGGGTTCTTAATAGTCCAGCCAACTGGACCTTTCTGAAGAGAGAGACATGTTTGAGTGTGTACCTTAGGAACTGTAATAAAAACAAACACGTTTCCCAGTAAAATACCGTGACAGTTGTTAAGTGTGGTTGAGTTGGTTCCAACCAATTGGTGTAGGCTTTCTGAGGAGCAGGCTGGCAGGTTTGAACCACCGACTTTAGAGTTGGCAGTCAGGTGTGTATCCTGCAGCACCACCTATTGGGATGCATGTATAGGGTTTGTGTCTTGAAGCTACCTGTGTGAGACAAGGGCCCTGGTAGTGCAGCAGACAAGTGCTCCACTGTTCGTTGACAGGTGGGTGGGCCAGACAGCAGCTTCACAGGAGAAAGACCTGGTCATGTGCTCCTCTAAGGGCTCTGTTGTCAGTCCTGGGTGAGCCTCCCTTAGTGTTGTTAGGTGCCGTTGAGTCACCTCTGACTCAGAACGACACAGGGTCAGGCCCTGCACCATCCTCCCCACCGGTGCTCTGTGGGAGCCCATTGTTGCAGCCCCTGGGCCCGCCCATCTCAGGGACGATTTTCCTCTTATTTTCTGACCATGAACTTTACCGTGCATGATGTCCTTCTCCAGTGATTAGTCTCTCCTGATCCTATGGCCATGTACATAAGAGGAAGTAAAGATGACAGCCTAGGAAACCCTTTCGTGGAGCCGTGATAGAGAGAAGGAAGGCACTGTGGAGAAGAGTGAAATAAGCGTGTTTGTTCCACGCACAGGGACATGCCCTGGGGAAACTGAGCAGTGAGGCCCAGGGCTTAGGGGACCATGCTTACAGCCCACTCCCCAGTCCTGGGCAAGGAGGCTGCCCATGCTTTCTGCAGGAGATGGATAATGGTGTTTTTGTTAGGGGCCCTGGGAGTGTTAGGAACCTCTGTAGTTTACTGAAGGAGTTAGAGACCTTGGGGTCAGGCAGACAGGAGGACAGGAAAAATGAAGGGGGGAGGCTGGATGCCTGGTCACACTCCCTCTCCTCCTCTCCCACCTCCCCTTTCCTGTCTGTTCCCCCCACACACCTGCCCAGTCTGGACGTCCAGCTTCTCATTTCTTTTGGAGCCAGTCCTGAGCTTGTGAGTGCGCACACACACTAATGCACACACACAGCCTTCTGGCCTGGGTGTGAGGAGGGGCCTCACCCATCTGGGGAACCTGTGTCCTTTGGTTGGTTCCTCATACTCTGCCAGATCGTCTCCCCTATGCATACTGTGTGTGTGGTGTGTAGTGTGTGTGTCGTGTATGGTATGTATATATATTGTGTGGTATCTTTATAGTGTGTATGGTGTATAGTATATGTTGTGTGTTTAGTGTGTATAGTGTGTGTGGTGTGTAGTGTATAGTGTGTGTGATGTATAGTGTGTACAGTGTGTATAGTGTGTGGTGTATAATGTATGGTGTGCGTATAGTGTGAGTGTGGTGTATAGTGTGTATATGGTGTGTAGTGTGTGTGTACTATAGGTATGTGTTTATGTGGGAGTGTGGTGAGTGTGTATTGTGTGTGGTGTGAGTGTATGCTGTATAGGTGAATATAGTGGATGTGTGGATGTGGTGAGTATGTGGTTATGCTTGTGGTATGTGTGTTATAGATGTGGGTGTGTGTTGAGGTAGGTGTGGGTTTATAGTGGTTGTGTGTTTGTGGAGGGTATGGTGGAATGTGGGTGTGTGTAGTGTATCTGAGTGGACGGTGTGGTGTGGCACGTGTGTCGTGTGGTGGGGATATATTTGTGATGGGGTGGAGTGTGGGTTTGTGTGGTTGAGTGCTATGGTGGATGTTTGTGGGTATGTGTTTGTGGTATATGTGTGTGGTAGATGTGTGAGTATGTTTGTGATGGGTGTGTGGTGGGTGTGGCTGTGTGTAATGGGTGTTCTGTGTTTGGTGTAAGGGTTTGTGGTGAGCGTATATTGTGGGAGATGTGGCTCTGTGTGGTGGGTGTGTTTGTGGGGTGTGTATGGTGGTGTGTGTTTGTAGTGGGGTGTGTATGTTAGTGGTGGATGTCTGGTATGTGTGTATTTGTGGTGGTATGTGTTTATGGTGGGGTTGTGTGTATTGGAGTGTCTGGTGTGTGTGTGGTGGGGGGTGTGGCGGATATGTGGGTGTGTGTTTGTGATGGGGTGTGTATGTTTACGGTGGGTTTCTGTGGGGTTGTGTGTGTTTGTGAAATTCTCTGTGAAATGCATTCTGCTACATTGAACAGCCATTGATTGACCTTTTTCTTGCAGTAGAGGATTAGTATGTGAGGAGAGAGTAAACGGGTTAATCGTTGAGTGCTTTGGTCAGAGTGGGAGCGACTCTCAGCTCTGTGTTTTGAGAAGACAGTGGAGAGTGAAGCCCAGAAAAGGCTGCTGCCCAGGCCAAGGAGTGTGTCCGCCAAGGAACTGTTTAAGTCTTGCCATCTTGGCTTCTAAGAAGTATTCTGACTTGACTTCTTCCAAAGCAGATGAGTTTGTTTTTCTGGCGGTCCATGGTATATTCAGTGTTCTTCACCAGCACCGTCGTTCAAAGGCATCACTTCTTCTTTACTCTTCCGTATTTCATAGCTCAACTTTCACATGTATCAGGTGATTGGAAAGGCCTGGCCTGGTTCTGTGGAGTACAACCATCGTGTATCCACGCCCAGTGGCCGGAAGTTGCTAAGAGTTGAGGCTGACTCAGTGGCAGACAGCACTGTCGGTTTGTGTCCATTGCTCTAGAACGTATCATGAGTGATTGTGGGATTTGTCTCCCACATGGACGCCTTTAAAAATCCTCATTTGTGTGCACGTAATAATGGTAAGATCCCGCCCTCCCTCGTCTCCTATAGATTTGCATTTTTGGTTCAAAATAAAGTTCCAAAACAGATGCTTTTTGTCTTCTGTTTCTGCCTCTACAGGGTTTGTGTATGGCTGTGGAGGGAGGTCTTAGAAGACATCCATGTCTCTGCCCCATTCTGGGAATGTTCTGGAATAGGGGATGAGAATCCCAAGTCTGGGTCTGGGACTTCCTGATGGGCCACAGTAAAGGGATTCTCCGATCTCAGGACTGAGGTCTCCATTCAGTCACCATGTCATGCCCGCTCTGTACTGACAGAGGATGGCAATCAGCGGGGCAGCAGACGAGCTGAGCGTGCAGGGTTGGGAGCCAGCCTCGTTCTTGGGATGGGTGGGGGTCCTGCGTGCACATGGAAGAGGTGTCTCAGAGGCCCTGTCTTACAGGGTCTCGGGGTGAGGTCACATCTGCTCTGGAGTTCCTGGGGGAGCTGAAGGGGGTGGGGGCAGAGAACTCCACGTCAGTGTCCAGGGGCCACAGTGGGTGGGCAGCAGGAGGCCAGTCAGAATGACCCCCGGAACCACCTGCAAGCATGTTGAATTCCTCAGATGTGTTGTAACACATGATTTCAGAAACACTTCTTGGAGGTGGTTTGATGACCAAAGTCTGCTCTAAGTTATTAGAACAGGGTACAGACAAATGAATCACTGATCAGTGAACCAAGAATCCCCACAGCCTCAGGGTTGGTGGCATGTATAAGTTGAGAGGTTCAAACTCACCCAGTCTCACTGCAGAAGAAAAGTCTGGAAATCTGCTTCTGGAAAGGTGGCAGCCAAGAACATTTCCTGTGTGACAGACACATGGGCTCACCAGGAGTGGGAGCTGACTGATATTGACATGTGCAGCAGCCTCACATCAGACCCTAGAGTCTCCACTCAGCTCAACTGTGCACCCAGGGCCCAGCCAGGAAAGTGAGAGGGGAAGTCCCCCAGTGGTACCAGCTCTTCCTGGGGACCCTCCCTCCAGCTGCTCCCTGTGACTGAGCCCTTTCCTACACTGCCACCTTGTGGCCAACACACGCACTGGCGGAAGCAGCACTCCTTGAGGTGGAGTGCAGGGTAGATAGCACCTTGCTACCTCCCGAGGGCTTTCTGCAAGGTGATCTTGTGGAAGGGGATCGCCAGGCCTTTCTTCCACAGCGCCACTGAGTGGATTTGACCTTTCCTTTCTCAGCCACGTGTGTTGGCCACCTTTCCCGCCTGCTCTACCTTTCAGCTGACCAGAGGCAGCACTTGCTGAGATGTGGAGCCCTTGGTCATGTCAGGTCCACTGTGCCCAGTACGGCCCCCTCGGTCCTGTGCCTGTGCCCCTCACATCCTCTCACAAGCCCGTTCCAGGGTGCTGTGAGTCACCCCGTCGGGGGGCCTGGTCACAGGTGCCCCAAGGACTCCTACAGGGCTGTGTGATTGCCCTCTCAGGAACACAAGCCATACACATCTGTCTTCTCTCTCCACAGTGTTCCCAACTCCTGCCCGGCCAGTCCACGTGGCGCCGGCTCCTCCAGCTACCGTTTCGTCCAGAACGTGACTTCGGACTTGCAGCTGGCTGCGGAATTCGCTGCCAAGGCCGCATCAGAACAGCAGGCAGACACGTCTGGAGGGGACAGCCCAAAGGTCAGAGGGCGCACTGCACACCCACAGTCTCCCAGGGGTGCTGTCACCAAGATGTCACAGGGCCTCAGAGCAGGTGTTTATTCCCTCAGTCCAGCTTCTAGCAGCTTCCAGCAACCCCCGGCATTTCTGGGCCCATAGCTGGGTCCTCATGCGTCAGCTGGCTCCGTGCATGCCCGTGTTTCTTCCACACTGTCAGTGAGCAGGGAGCCTGTTTCCACAGAGGCTGCGCTCACAGGCACAAGGGCTCGGGCTCAGGGGCACACTTCCACGCACCCCTCTGATCACTTGCTGATGCCCACCCCTGATTGTGACCTCATCCTGCCTGCTGTTGAGGGGTGGACGTAAACCTGGCTCATAAACCTACTGGTGATGTGTGAGCCATTGAGAGGACATAAACCCGACTTTCACGCTCACTGGTGATGGGGGGCGCCATTGGGCAGGCGTAAACCTGACTTGTGTCCGGTGGCAAGACTTAGCTGTGTGGTGCCCTCATGGCACGGTGGCTCGTCCCCTCACTGGCACTGTGTGTGTCCGCTTGTCTCCGCAGGATGAGTCCAAGCCCCCCTACTCGTATGCACAGCTCATCGTACAGGCCATCTCCTCGGCCCAGGACAGACAGTTGACACTAAGCGGGATCTATGCCCACATTACCAAGCATTACCCCTACTATCGGACCGCCGACAAGGGCTGGCAGGTAAGACTGGTAACCCCAACCTGTGGAAAAAGCTGGAAAAAATGGGGCACTGTGTTGTTTGCAGGTGTTCTGGGTGATGTGGGTGAGGCTCCAGCCCCAGGAAGCCAAGCATCCTCCTGTTTGGAGTGCTGCCCCCTCCCACGGTGGCCCTGTGTGACACAAGAGTGGCCCCATAGAGTTCTCTAGACTTGGCGTCATGTGAGTGGAGTAGTGCCAGCTGCCTTCTCCCACCAAGCCACTGGCATTGTTTGATCTGATGTCCTTGTGATTAGCAGTCAACCACTTAGCTATTAAAGGTTGAATTTGTGATTGGTGCCTCCCTTGGTGATGTCCAAGGCTCCCTGGTAGCACAGTGGACTAGGTGGTGGACTGCTAGGCACCAGCTGCTCTTCAGGAGCAAGATGAGGCCGGCTGCACCTGTAAAGACTGCACAGTCTCAGGAGTCCTGTCGAGCACAGTTCTGTTCTGGCCTGTGGGCTCGGCTCGCTGTGATCAGAATCAACTGCGGCGGTGGGTTTGGGCTGCTCATATCCAGAAACATGAAGATGGGTTCATCCTGGATTGGGAAAAGCACCATTGGCCTTGTTCCTGCAGAGAGTCAGTGAGTCCATGGTACAGGTGCAGGCTTTACTTAGCACTGCTGGACCGCTGCCCGTGTGTGTGTCCACACCTGAGTGGCCGTTGGAGCTCTGCGTGGCCTGCTCTGGCATCTGTCTAAGGCCACACCCATACCCGCCTAGTCTCCCTCTCTGGCTTCTCTGTGAAGAAGGGCTGTGCACCTGGGCTGTGTGTACGTGTGTGTGTACACCTGTGTGCATGTATCTATGTGTGTTTGGTGGTGGTTGTGTGCCATGAAGTCAGTTCTGTCTCACAGTGATCCCTGAGGCAGTAGATCTTTATGGGAACAGAAAGCTTCATCTTTCTCCCTGGGAACATCTGGTTGAGTCAAACTGCTGACCTTGTGGTTACAGCCCAAATCATAACCTACGCTACCAGGGCTCCGTGGGTGTTTGTGTGTATGCGTGAGTTGTATACATGTGGTGTTGTTGTTGTTAAGTGCCGTGGAGTCAGTTCCGACTCATAGCGACCCTGCACAGGGTTTCCGAGGCTGTAAATCTTTACGGGAGCAGAATGCCTCATCTTTCTCCCGCAGAACTGATGGTAGTTTCGAACTGCTGACCTTACAGTTCACAGCCCGATTCGTAACCACTACGCTACCAGAGCTCCTTGTGTGTGTACGTATGTATATATATATGTTGTTAAGTGCCCTCAAATCAGTTCCAACTCAGCAACCCAGTATAGCGTTTCTGAGATGCAGTTGGTAGGTCTGAGCTGATGACCTTGAGGTTAGCAGTCCAGTGCTTATCCTACAACGGGGGTGTGGTGTCCCAGTGTATATGTGTATGTATTTATTTGTGTGTCTCTGTATGCATGTATATATGTGTATATGTATGCAAAGGCGTCCTGGTGAGGCACTGCGGGTTAATGCGCCGGACTGCAAGGTCAGTTTGAACTGCAAGGTTGGCAGCTCAACTTCACCAGCCACTCCTCGGAAACCCTACGTACAGGGTCGCTATGAGTCAGAACGACTCTACGGTGTCCTGGTGTGACACGAAAGGGTAAATACTACCTGCATGTGTGTGTTCTCTGTATATGTATTCTGTGTGTGAGTGTGTGTATGTACATGACAGAGTCTGGATGTGACACTGCAGGGTAAGCACTGGACCACAAGGTCGATTTGAACTGTAAGCAGTTGGCGGTTCACATCCACCAGCTGCTCTTTGGACACCCTCTGCAGGTTCACTGTGAGTCAGAACCGACTCGACGGTATTAAACAGTAACAATGTATATATGGGAGCCCAGTGGCTCTAGAAGGAAGATAAGCACTGAACGGAAACCACAAGGTCAGTGGTTCGAGCCCACCAGCCACTCTGCAGAAGGAAGATAAGACTTTCTGTTTCCTTAAAGATGAATGGCCTTGGAAACCCTATACAGGGTCGCAATGAGTCAGAACTGACTCCATGACACTAAACAACAGCTAATATGTATGAGTGCTGCTGGGGGGCTGTGGGCTAATGCGTCAGACTGCGAAGTGGTTTGAACTGCAAAGTCAGTGGTTCAAGCTCCCCAGCTGCTCCTTGGAAACCCTCTACAGGGTCTCTATGAGTCAGAACCAACTCCATGGCACTTAACAACAACAATGTGTGTATGTACCAAAGTATATATTTTTGTGGTGCAGACAAACTCAGTAAAGCAGATTGGCTAGCAGTATTCACAGGCACGTTTGGTGTGACCTGCATGACATCCTAAAGTTGTGCCGCTTGTATTTCACCCAAACTCAACCGTTACTGAGGCCTCCTGCCTAACTGCGGAGAGACTGGTGTTGGTTTCATCCCGTATGAAAGCGTAGACACTTGCAGCAGACATTTCACTGAAGAAAATAAACAGTGATTTGGTTTCAAGAAGACTTCAGGGAATCATTTTGTTTTTGACGATGACCCTAGGGCAGTCGTTTCAGAGTGCGTGGGAAGTGGTCATCCAGCCTTCAGGGGACAGAGTCTGGATTGTAGAATTTGAGTTTCTGTCCTACATGTCCCGACCTTTGGATTAGGATTCAACCATAGTCCTTTGCTGGGTTTTGATTGAGAAAGACCAACAATTTGCCTTCAGGGCCATGGTCTGTGTGACATGCTTTTTTCCATTTAGATATTTTGTCTGTGTGTCCGGGTCCCCATGTGACTGTGGGGGTGCTGTGTCCTGGTCTCTGTGTGACTGGGGGTGGGTGCCTTGTCCGAATCTGGAGGTGTGACTGGAGGTGTCGTGTAACTGCATAGCCTTCTCTCTGAATGACTGAGCATGGGGGGAGGGGGCATGGGGTAGGCTCTTTGTTTGTCTACTGGCTGAGTCATGGTGGGTCTTCCCTGCAGAATTCCATCCGACACAACCTCTCTCTGAACCGCTACTTCATCAAAGTCCCGCGCTCCCAGGAGGAGCCTGGTAAAGGCTCTTTTTGGCGAATAGACCCGGCCTCGGAGGCCAAGCTCGTGGAGCAGGCGTTCCGGAAACGGAGGCAGAGGGGTGTCTCCTGCTTCCGCACCCCCTTCGGGCCCCTGTCGTCCAGGTAAGCATGCTCGGTGCTTGTAAGCTGTGGAAACAGGTTTGCTGGGTTGAAATTGAAATCTCCTCCTTCCGAGAGAAAGCCAGGGCCTGGGCAAGTTAACCAGGTTAAACTGGACAAAGGCGTGGCCCTGGGGAGTAGGACAAGACAAGGGGCCACCATTGCACAGCTGACATCTGAGTATGCTGGGCCCGGGGAGGGTCAGCCTCCACACAGCTGGTGGCCTTGCAGGACGGACGGGCCCGGGGAGGGTCAGCCTGCACACAGCTGGCGGCCTTGCAAGACGGATGGGCCTGGGCAGTGCTCTCACTGCCATCACAGGGCCTCGGCTATTAGTGGCCGGGCTGCATCGTGCTCTTCCTTGAGGCCTATCACACAGCCTCCACCTTTTCCCAGGAGTGCTCCTGCCTCGCCTACCCACCCAGGACTCATGTCACCGCGCTCCAGCGGCCTGCAGACTCCAGAATGCCTGTCCCGCGAGGGCTCGCCCATTCCACATGATGCTGATTTCGGGTCAAAGTTGGCGTCTGTCCCTGAGTACCGGTATTCCCAAAGTGCGCCTGGTGAGGACCCTCCTACCTGTCAGATGCACGTGGCATGGTGGGGGCCGGGGGCCACCATCCACCTGCCTACCCGCCGAGAGCTCATGCCATGCTCTGTGTCCAGGCTCCCCGGTCAGCGCCCAGCCGGTCATCATGGCAGTGCCGCCCCGGCCACCCAGCCTGGTGGCCAAGCCTGTCGCCTACATGCCAGCATCCCTTGTGGCGTCCCCGCAGCCCACCGGCCACGCCATCCACGTGGTACAGCAGGCACCCACGGTCACCATGGTTCGTGTGGTCACCACGTCTGCCAGCTCCGCCAATGGCTACATCCTGGCCAGCCAGGGCATGGCCAGCAACACCCACGACGCCCCGGGCACAGCCGTGCTGGACCTAGGTGGCGAGACTAGAGGTACTGCAGTCAGGCGGCCAGAGTCAGGGTCAGGCCTTGGGGGTCCAGGTGGGGTGGTCACTGTCCTAGGGGTAGGTCACCTGCTGCTGCCCCTCAGTGCCCTCCTGAGCATGACCTTGAATTAGTGTCTGGGTCCTGTATCCAGTGGAATTTCCTTCTTCCCAGGGAAGGTGGTTCCTCAGGCCCCAGATGGATGTGGGGTCCATGGGCAGACCCAGGTCACAGCCTGTGCTGTGGGCCTTATCCCAGCCTTTACATTGACGCTGACTCAGGGATCCTTTAGTACTGTCTGTGCTGTGGGCCCCCATCAGAGCCTTTACATTGACATTGACTCAGGGATCCTTTAGTACTGTCTGTCGAAAACACTTGTATTTGTAAAGGACTGTTGTTACCACTCTTAAGATCATTCCTGAAATTTCATTTCTCTCAGCCTAATGTGGGGTGATGAAGTTCTTGGGTTCAGAACTTTTTTCTAAAGACTTGTGTTGTTTTTCAACAATGTACTTGGGGCAGCATTCTGGAGCCCAGGTCTCATGGTCCTGCTTTCTAGGCCTGGAGGACAAGCCCACCATCGCTTTTGCCACCATCCCCACCACTGGCCGCGTAATCCAGACAGTGGCCAGCCAGATGGCCCCAGGCGTCCCCGGACACACGGTCACCATCCTGCAGCCAGCTGCCCCGGTCACCCTCGGGCAGCACCACCTCCCAGTTCGAGCCATCACCCAGAACGGCAAGCATGCTGCTCCCACTGGCAGCCTAGCCAACAGCACCTACGGTGAGGCCCTGAGACTCAGTCAGACCTGGTGGGGGGTCAGGGCTGTAGCTGCTGGACAGTGGAGTGGGCACCAGGGCACTGATGGGAGGAGGCAAGCAGGAAGCGAGTGCGAGTTTTCTTAGGGTACCTTGGGGGTGGCTGGCAGAGGGCACTTGGGGGCACCCCAGATAGAGGAGGAGCAGGGGGCGGGGATGGGCAGAGCAGGGGCAAGGCAGGGCCGCAGCCACCTCCAGACCCCAGCTTTCTCTAGCCCCCCTGAGATGGTGGTGCTCTGCTCTAGGAGGTGGACACTGGCCCTCAATAGCCCCCTGCTCACAGCCTGTTGTCCGCCCCCCAGCCCTCTCCAGCCCCTTGCAGCTCCTGGCGGCCCAGGCTAGTTCGTCCACGCCCGTTGTGGTGACCCGCGTGTGTGAGGTGGGGCCTGAGGAGCCACCTGCCGTGATCCCGGCTGCTACTCCCCCCATCGCCGCCCCCACCCCCGCTGGGGAGCCTGAGGTCAAGCGGTCCCGGGTGGAGGAGCCCCCTGGCGGGACAGCGGTCACACAGGCTGGGGTCATTGCGGCCGCCGGCCCCCAGGGCCTGGGCTCTGGAGAGTGACGGCCCTGCATCCTGGATGTGGAGTGGGGACACCGGGGCCACGCCGCTCATCCTTTTACTGTGCCCCGTGGTCACATAAACACATTCAGACAAGCGATTGTATCTTCTGCAGTTTTTCTTCTCCTCCTCCCCCGTACTTCCTCTTCCCCCAGCCTCCTTCTTGGGGCGCAGAACCTACCCCAACAGATCGCCCGCTCGTCTGAAGGCTGCACAGCACTGGAGCGTCAGACATGGCTGGACACCACAGGACAGCAGCCGCCCACTGCCAATCATGTAGGCCCACCACAAGCTGTGGGCATTACCTGGGGTCTGGTGCCCCACTCTGGGTCCCGTGAAGTTGAGGCCTCTCTCAAGCCACACGCAGGTCCCACGGACAACGCATCTCACAGACTCCTGCACAGAGTCAGAACCTGCCCACTCTGAGCGCCAAGGAGGACAAGGTGGGAAGTCAACCCATCCCCCAACCCACCCACCTGATCAACTCCAAGTCAAACTGTGGAGTGTCCACGGGGTCGCTCTGCCCAAGGCCGGGGTTACGCCCTGTCCTGCTCTCCAGCCGCCTCAGTCCTATTTGTGAGCAGCACCCTTTTGCTATTGGAGGTTGGAGCAGCTCTTCTGCCTGAAGTCCTGGGGCTCAGGTCTGTCAGCAAGAAGGAAACTACCTCCCAGGGGGGCATGGAGGTCCGAGCCTAGGCCAGCAGACTAGTGGCTAGTTTGGATGCAGCCGCAGCCCCCGAAGAATGTGTACCTGCGTGAACTTGGACCCTCCACAACCCAAAGCAACAACAACACACTAGCCCAGCCTGGGGTGGGGGGCTCCAGGTTCCGTCTGCCTCCACCTCTATCTATGGTCCATGCATGCCCACTGCCAACCGTGAAGCTTGGGGGGAACAGAGCTGGTAGGAATGTCCTCAGTGCCACCCTCTGCCTTCTGTGTGAATGTCCACCCAGCACCTGTGGCTTCGAGACCCAGGACCTGGGCAGCACCTCCAGGTCACCTGCTGCATCTGTCCCTCCCGATGCTGCCCAGGGCCCCAGGAGGGGCAGCATGCCCTTCTAGGCTGGTGGTCACATGATGCACTTCTTTTAAGTGCCACCTGGTCTGCAGGGGCACCTGGGGCACTGCCCAGGGATGACCAGGGGAGGGAGCCTGTGGAGTCACCAGGAGTGGAACAGGGGCAATTCCTCGGTGTTTGTCACCAAGGGGCTTCTTGACAGTGGCTGGGGCCTCACAGTCCTCCGGGGGACTCTCACACCTGCTTTACTCTCAGGCACTCTGCCCCCAGGAAGCCGACATGGCCAGAGGACAGAGCAGGCAGCAGGCCCTCAGTGACCTGATCCTTGTGCTCTGAAGGAAAGCTTGTGGTCCCCGGGGGCACACGCTGACCAGGCAGATGGGCCACATGACCCTGGCCCTGTCTGCACCTCAGTAGACGGACAGTGTGAAGCAGACTCACTCGCTTGTCTCCGCCGAGGTGAACAGGACGTGCCAGGAGCTGAGCTGGAAACTCCAGCTGCGTCGGGCCGCTCAGGAGAGCGGGTTTCTGGCATTGGTGTTGTCCTGGCCTCCGATTCTAGCTTCATTTGTAGACACAACTAACCTCGTTGTAAAGTGGGCTCTTACTGAGAATGGGCCTCGGAGCTTCTGGAGTTGAGTCCAGAGGGTGCATTTCCGTTGTCTCCTCTGAAGCTTCCCAGCGCAGTTTGTTCTTATCACTCCTGGCCTGCAGCCCATCTTGAGGGATTCCACACTGTGAGGGCTGGGGAAGGGGCATCAGGGAAACCCTTGTGCAGGGGTGTGGTGGCCTCGGCTGCATGGGTTCCGACGGTGTGCTGTATATTCTAGAACAAGCTACAAAGTAGTACAGATGGGAAGGACCCCACAGCCCCCATGGTAGCCCGGGTCAGCAGGAGGAAGCTGCCGGAAGCCCAGTCTGGGCTCAGAGTAGAATATACACCTGCAGGTGCTACCTCTACACAGAGGCCCTGTTGTGTCTTCAGGACGATGTGACATGAAACCCCCATCCCCATGAACTGCTTCAGAGATGGGCCCAGGCTTTGGGGGCCGGCCGGTCTTTCAGGCAGGCGTTAATGCTGGGCCCGGTCCAGCACTCATGGTCTCGCTGGGCATTGCCTGCCTGCCGTTTGCATTTTTTTCTAGAGCCAGAAGCTGCTGCTGCTCTGGGTGTAAAGGAGGGCTGCTCGGGGAGGGGCTTTGGGGAAGCATTCCGGGGGGGGAGGGGGGGGGTCAGGACAGCTGAGTCCCTCAGGCAAGGCCACTGTGGGACTTTTACCCTCCCCCTCCCCTGCAGGGAGTGGGGGGACTCCAAGGTCAGCCAGGAGCGGCTCCTGTCACACAGAGCCCTCCATGTTAGCTGGTGGCCCCCACACCCAAGGGGCAGCCAGGGAGAAGGGAAGCCACAAGAGGCTTCAGCAGGTCAGGTCCCTGGTCGCTGGCGGTGAGGACATTGTCTCTGCTTTCAGGCATGGCTCTTTCGGTGGGGGTGGAGTCTTTGTACCCAAGTGTCATGGGGACACCCACCCCTTCAGTGAGGCTATGGGCTCCTGATACCCTGCCGGACCCTCCCAGGGGTTCCAGATTCTGGAAGCTGCTGTTTCTGGACTGGTTCGATGGTTTGGTTTGCTACCCCAGATATGTATGTCCTGGCTGGTTCTCATCCTGCCTGCCCCATGCCGCCTCAGCCTTTGAGCCCAAGGTCTGACCTTGGGCTGACCGCCATGGTCACAGTTACAGAGCCTTCGAGAACTCTTAGTGTCCAAGCTTGTTGACCGGGGTGGGTATTACAGCTGGCCCACAACCTCAGAAGACTCAGCCTCTTTATCTTCAGGCTAAGGGGCCTCCTTTCTTTAAATTCTTCTTTTTGCAAAGTCAGATTTGACCCCTTCCTCGCTCCTCTTCCTTTCAGGAAAGACTTTCGAACACCTGGTGTACCCTAACTTTCGGGGGAGGGAACAGACCCTGAGATCTCCTGCCCCTCATCTGAAGGTTATTTGTGAAAACCATGGAGAGGGAGGGGTACCAAGAATGTAGACACAGGCCCCATCCATTGTCCAGGTGATACCTGAGTTTGGGAGGGGGGTGAACAAGCAGCCTGGAGAGGGCAGGGGGGCGCTTAGCACTGGTCAGAACGGTGGAGCCCACCGGGGCGGGGACCAGGCGGCTTTCATTTCCAATGGGATACAGTATTTTTTAATAAGGAGCCATACTTTTGTTGAAAAGTTTGAGATCTGAATGCGGTTTTGAAATGTTATCAGACAATGTTTTGAAAGGTATAACGAAGTTTCAAATTTCTACTCTCCCCACCCCCATTTATTTTAACTGTTCTGTTATCTATTAAGTTGTCAGACATGAACGGGGAAGTTTTGTTTCTCCTCTTAGCATTTATTTCTATAACCAGAAATAAAATTATATATTAAAGACAGGATGGCCCTGTGTGGTCCTTGGCCGGGTCCCTCTACCCCCCAGGCAGCTGCTGGGGGTCTGCTTTCTCCATCACTCCTGGCAGAGAGCAAAGGGTAACTAACAAAGGCCATGTATGTGGGTCCTGGTGATTCCCGCGGCCCCGGAAGGACTGCCTGCAGACAAGCTGCATCTGCCAGGTGAAGGCCCAGGTGACCTCCATGCGGGTGCTGGGCTGGCTGACAATCACCGGCTCCCCGGGCTGGACCCTGGGGTTCAGCAGCCAGCACACGAGGGCACACCAGGGCACAATGCAACAGCAGCCTGAACCACCTGAACCCACTGCCGGGCCTCCTCTCTGCAGGGGCTGCCAGAGGGGACCAGCTCCACCCCCACGTACAGTTCCCATCTGATCCTTGACATTAGAGAAGGTTCAGGCCCGTGAACACAGGCCACTGTTTTTTCATTATTCAAGATTTCAAGAATTTTGCTTCTAATTAAAGACCATTTTTTTTTCCTTTAATCAGTGAGATATTAAAATAGCATTTTATAGAAATCTGATGTTTTTTGGAAACAGGTCAAATGTTGGTAACTTTGAAACATGCGCATGGAGGAGATGGGGTGACTCCTAGCAGGTGCATGTTCAGTGAGCCAGGGGTGTACCAAAAGGGCAGTCCCCACAAAGACCAGAAAGAAGGTGATCCAGCTTTCTCCCTAACTGCCAACACTTGGGTTTGTGGTGATGAATTCAATCACCTGAGCGCCCTTGTCAGAAGAGGGCCCCTGGCTAGCCAGCCTACAGAATGAGAGCTGGGGAGGCGCCTGGGGGCAGGGGCATGCTGTCTGGATCTTAGCAGCCAACAGTGGATTCCTTGTGCTAGAGTCAGCTTGTGAGAGTTGATTGTTCTTTTATCAGGTGTTTTGTGAGTGAGGCTGATAACAAGGCCAGTATTAAAATAAAATTATGTAAACTTGGTGAGGTAACTTGCATGAAAAACAAAGGGAACAAATACTCAAGATCCATCACTTTCGAGCTGTGTCGAGGGCACATTACAATGGGGTGCATCCACATTTCTCTCCCCAGCGCAGCCTTCCGTGATATCACAGAGCTTGAAACCAGCCACTGCCTACAAATACGAGATTTTCTTTCTCTCTGAGTTACAAAAGTGTAGAAAATCATTCAAGATTGACGCATTCAGACTGTGAGCCTATTCAGAGGTAGCGACCCTATAGGACAGAGTAGAATTGCCCCTTAGGCCTTTCCGAGACAGTAAATCTGTATGGGAGCAGACTGCCGCATCGGTCTCCCAGGGAGCAGCTGGAGGTTTAGAACCACCAACCTTGTGGTTAGCCCGGTTAGCAGTGGAACGCACATGACCAGGCAAGTTTTTGGTCTGTAATGCATAAGGTTGCCACCAGGTGGCGCCAACACCAACAAATGTAGTGAACGTGGTTTGTACGCCACGGCTGACCCGGGATGCGGGGCTCCAAGGATCCCGGTTTTCCGGGTGTGGGCTCCGAGGATCCGGAGTTTGGGGACGCAGACTCCGAGCACCCTGGGATTAGATGTGTGAGCTTCCCGCCGCCAGGGGCTCGAGGAGTAGGGGCGGCCTCGCCTCCGCCCCGACAAGCTCTGCGCCACAGTGTACTCATTGGTCCGCGGCGCACTCGCCCCGCCCCGCGGAGCCTGCCCCCACTCACATGACACGACCCCGGAAACCAGCAGTCAGCGAGCGGAGTGCGGGAGAAACCAGCGAGCTGAGTGCGAGGACCAGCGGCGGCGGGATGTTCTCGGCGGGGACGGAGAGTCTGCTCCGCCAAGCCAGGTGCCGGCGACCCTCCCGCTCCTTCCCTTTGGGGCACCGGGGACACTGTTCTGCAGACTTGGGAGGTGGGAGGTGAGGGGCGGCACCTGCCGGGAACGTCGTGGCTGACCGGTAACAACAGGTGGGCCGGCCGTCAGTTGCTTCAGGGTCCAAAGCATAAAGTTACCAAGAGGCTGGAGAGATTAGTGGGAATCAAGGCAGGCGAAGATTGATGGTGCAGTGGGCTGAACACTCGCCTGCTAACCCTTTCGGTTCAACGAGGTTGGAAACCACCAGCTGCTTCACGGAAGAAAGACTTGGCTGTCTGCTTCCATGAAGATGTTGTTGTGAAGTGCCGTTGTGTCGTCGCTAGTTTCCTAAGAGCTACTGGTGAGCTTCAACCGATGACTTTGCGAGTCAAACCGTCTTTGCAGTCCAGCGCATTAACCCACAGCTCCACACCATTAAGGTATTTAAGTACCGTGGAGACTTCTCCGACTCATAGCAGCAACCCTGTATAGGGTTTCCAGGGAGCAGCTGGTGGGTGTGAGCTGCCGAACTTGCGGTTCGTAGTCCAGTGTTGATCGTACTGTGCCACACCAGGAGGCTATGAAGGTATACAGCCTTGGAAACCCTACGGGGCAGTTCCACTCTGTCGCTGTGAGTCAGAATCAACTCCAGCTGGCAATGGGTTGTTTTGGTTTGGAAATACCAAATCACCTTCATCTCTCTCAGGTGAGGCAGGGAGGGAGTCTTCACCTTCTCAGCTGAACATCCTGAGCCTTAAATTAGTAAATCCGCTGAGGTTAGACCTCCCTTGTTACCCATCTTTAGCCTCTGTCGGATTTAGGAGTAGATTTCTCACTAGGTTTAGAGGATGGTTTAGCATTTCCTTACTGTTTTCCAAAAGCCCTGGTGTGGTGCTGTAGGATAAGCACAAGGTCAGCAGTTCACACCCACCAACTGCTTCTTGGAAACCCTGTACAAGGTTAGACCTGCACAATGAGAAAATCCTGGGTCCTGGTGCACTGTATGATAAACATTGGACTGCTCACCACAGGATCAGCTGTTGGAGAAAGATGAGGTTTTCTGTTCCTGATATAGGGTCACTGTGAGTGAGACACCCTACTAACCAGCATACAACATACCATGCAAAAGTCCAAGGAGCATTGGTGGTTGCCGTAGTTACAGCACTTGGCTGTTAACTGAGTTTTGGTTGTGTGAACCTACCTCCCACAGCTTGGTGGAAGACAGATGTCACTGCCTCCATAGAAATCACAGCCTTGGAAAGTCTATGGGGTGGGCTCTGTCTCCAACATCACAGAAGCTTTTGTGATTGATAGAACTCACTGGTGCATTGGATGGAGTGGGAAATCACCCACCTTGTGCACTCTCAGAGCTGGGTTAACAGAGTGGCTGCAACAAGGAAGGGGCTTGGTGTAGGACGGCAGTGTTGCTCTCTTGTCACACCTGAGGTTGCTAGGAGACAGACCGACTGGATGGCAGCTCACAACAACCTTGTGGTGGTCTGACACCGGTGCTGGCCCCCCACCAACTATAATGTGCCACCAGATCTGCTCTTTAATATATGAGGTTTAACGCTTTTACCCAGACGTTGAATTTCTCACCTTTTTTTTTAGACTAACTCTCCCTCACTTTTCAGTGAGACTGTCAAAAATCAAGTTTGCTTTAATTGTTCTGCTCACAGAGTGAGAAAACCTAAAAATGAGTGTCTGTCAGCAGGATTGGAAGTGAAGGTGTCCCCATGAACCCTGCGTGCTGGGAAGAGGGTTAAGTCCTGGGGAGAGGGGTTGAGGGAATGTCCCAAGAAGCCAGTGTCCAGGGTGAAAGCCATCTCCTCCCCCAGCACTGGGCTTTCTTTTGGCTGAGTAAGAATTGTGTCCTGAGTCACTGGGATCAGAATAGCATTTTGGGGCCCTGGAGGAAAACTAGGGCACTGATGTCCTGTTTGTTGTGTAGGGAGATCCAGGATGAGGAGCTGAGCAAATTCTGTACCCGGGTAACAAAGCTGCTGCAGAAAGGCCCTGGGGCTGAGGCTGTGGACGCCCTGCGGAGACTTTTCCTCATCCTCTCGGCCACCAAATACAGCCGGAGGTGAGTGTTGCTGGGCCCCCAGGGGGTGGGAGGGCGCCCTTCTGACTTGGCAGCACCATGCAGTTCCTGGGGGGGCAGCAGACATTCCTTTGATGTTTGAGTCTTGTCCTGGTTAGTGTTGGTGACAACTCCGTGCACAGTGGAACAGACGCTGCCCAATCTGGTGCCGGCTGCTCAGTAGGTTGGGGGTGGCCCATGTTAGTCTGTAAGCTTCCACTGTGCATGAGGTACACTGGTCAGGGGTCAAACCTGGGTCTCCCGCATGGAGAGTGAGAATTCTACCTCTGAACAACCACAGGCCCCCCTGGAATGTGAAGGCTTCATCGATCTCCCTTCTCTGTGGCGTGCACCATGGTGGGGTTGTGAATGTGAGTTATGAGTGGGCCACAGCGTGCTTTCGTTCCAGGCTAGAGAAGCCCTGCGTGGACCTGCTACAGACCACCCTGTGCTCACCCACCTGCCCCGAGCAGCTCCAGCTCCTCTGTGCTGCCATCCTACGGGAGGTGGCTCCGTCCGATGGCCTGGTCCTGACATGTGACCACATTCAAGACAGCCGCACACTGAGCCTGGTGGCTTCTGTGCTTCTGGCCCAGGTGACCCCATGCCTCCCACAGGATGTGTGCAAGAGTACAGTGACATGTGGACAGGGGAGTTCCTGTGTGGGCAGGCATGCGTATGCAGGGCTGTGTGTGTACGCATGGACAGGCATGTGTCGAGTGGAGTATGCACCTGTGCTGTGGTGTGTGGATGCGAGTGCCGGGAGGGTGTGGACGGGGGGGCTTTCGGTATGAGCAGAGGCATGCTTGTGCATGTGTGCAGTGGCGCTCCGTGTGGACAGAGGCAGGCATGTGTAGGAGTGTGTGTTTGTCCTTGGGATACGGAAACATGTACTCGTACAAGATAAGATATATCCTGAGCTCAGGACCCTCAGTTGTCTCCCCAGCTCCCTCTCTGCTTGTCTGAGTCCTGGTGTGCCAGCACACCTACCCCAGTTGCCAGCACGTATTTAGATGGAGGGCCAGGGTCCATGCCCGCCTAGGGGTCCTCAGTACTGCTAGAGGGACTAGTGGGTGGTAGACGGCATCGTGTGCAGCTGTGTAAAGGGCTGACATCCTATCTGCTGGACTCTAAGGGGTGTGGCTGTTAACTACCGTCAAGTGACTTCCTGCTTGTGGTAACCCATTTATTACAGTACAACCGTAAGATGTACTTGGTTGTCATCTTAAAGAAGTAGGCCACCAAACCCATTTCTGCAGTGTTGCAGGATGGGTCAGTAGCCGAGCACAAAGAGTTAGACCTGACAGATAAAACTAAGTTCTACAAGCTAGATCTAGGCACTGGATCCTCACAGCCAGTGGAGGGGTGTCAGCTCTGCCTCATCCTTGCCCACTGATTAGTCACATTCCCACTGGGCCCCTTCCTGCCTCTGACCCCCAGGGTGCTGGGCTGGCTCAACACTGTGCCCGTGTGTGTCTTGAAGGGCGACAGGCGGGACGAGGTCCGCAGCGTGGGGCTGCGCGCTTTGCAGCTCCTGGAGACCCGGCCGACTGAGGGACCCGGGCCGAGGCCCCTCCTCCATGTGCTGTCCAAGGTGGTCAGCCTGGCACCTGCTGTCCTTTCCCAAGGTATACAGTCCCCAGGCAGCTCCTGAGTTAGATGACATGTATAATACATTGGTGCTATGGGTGCATGCTACATGCCACCACCACCTTTCCCACAGAGCAGAGCAGGGGTTTGGGGTGTGGCTGTGACTTACCCCTGCCCACTCCCAGGCCCAGCAGACTCGCTGCCCAGAAGACTGGTGGACTGGCTGCGCTACGCCAGCGTCCAGCAGGGGGCAGCACAGACCTCCGGAGGTTTCTTCTCTGGTGCCCGAGCCAGGCAGGTAACTGGTTCTCCAGCCTCCCTCTCACTGGGACTTTGGGAAAACAGATTCACTGCCCCAGTGATGCTCTGGGTGTGACTCACCAAGGGCGGCGACCGCCTCCTCACACCCTGCCTTGCCCATCTCCCATCCCTCATCCTGCAGCCTGGGCCTGTCACAGAGGTGGATGGGGCGGTGGCCACCGACTTCTTCACGGTGCTGTCCACGGGCCAGTGTTTCACGGAGGACCAGCAGCTCAACGTGCAGGTCTTCTCCATGCTGCGAGCCTGGCTGCTACTTGGTGATCCCACAGGCCCAGGGGCTGCTGACGCAGGTACTGGGGGTGGGGTAGGTGGCAGAGGGACAGGACTCCAGTAAGCAGGGACAGTAACAAGCCCCAAGTGTTCCCACTGTGTCTCTGCAGACGACAGATCGGACAGATCAGAGCTGGAAGGCTCCAGCTTGTCTGTGTTCTCGGCTGCCAGCACCACCACCAGCCGCCTGCTGCCCCCCCAGCAGCAACTGCGGGCCGGGGCTTTTGACTACTGTCAGCGCCTACTGGAACAGAGCGGCCGGCGTGAGTAGCTCCCCGAGACCACCTGTCCGACCCCTGTAGCCTCCCCACTGCCCACTGACCTGGAGCTTATTTGCTGCTTCCCCCACCCCCCAGGAGCCCTGCGGAGAGGGGACACTGACCTGCAGAAGGCTGTGAGTACCCCCCCCCCAATCCTGAGCCCCCTGAGCCCCTGCTCGGAGCCCCTAGTCTGACCCCAGGCCCCGTCCGCAGTGCTTGGTGGAAGCCGTGCTGCTCCTGGAGGTGCTATGCCGACAGGAGCCATCCTTCCTGTACCGCGCCCTGTCCTGCCTCAAGACCCTGCTCGGACGGCTGTGTGGGGACCCAGCCCAGGCCCGCACACTACTGCCCATCGCCCACTTCCTGCTGAGCCACGGTGAGCCCACCTGGGCAAGGGGTGCCGTCCTGGTCTAGTAGGTTCCTTCTCAGAGGCACACGGACATTAGGCGTGTAGGAGCACGGACTTCATACGACAGTGTTGGCTTTGATGATGTCAGTCTTGGTGCTCATCAGTGTCTGGCCTGTGTCACTTCAGACTCTGCGTCTATGCGAGGAGGCGTCTGGGGCAGACATGGGCAGGGCCCCAGAGGTGTGTCCTTGGGATGCTCTCGAGCCTTGTGCCCTGATGGCCGTGTCCACTCAGGAGAGGCGGCCGCGGTGGACTCGGCGACTGTGTGTTGGCACCTGTTCTCCAGCATCCCAGCTGAGCTCTTCCCCAACCCCATGTTGGCCTTTGAATTCGTCCAGTTCTGCAGGGACAGCCTCCACCTCCTTGGCCCGGACCTGGCCGTCTTCAAGCTCAGCTTCCCGAATCTCTTCAAGGCAGGTGGTGGCTCCCTAGGGCTCGTCACATACTCCTCCGGCCATTGGACAAGGCCTCATGGGGTCACACTGTCGGGGATGTGTTACTACTCAGTCTCAGGGCTGCGGGTTTGCCATCAGCGTGGGAGGTGGGAGACTGCAGACAGGACGGGCGGTGTGGAGGGTTCAGAAGCATGTTGGGAGGAAACAAGCCTTATGTGCCAGGGAGCCCTGGGTGGTGCGCATGGTGAACACCGTCCCTAACCGAGTCCACCCAGAGGCTCCATGGAAGAAAAGCCTGATAATCTTCCAAAAACCCAGCTGTTGAGACTGCAGAGCACAGTTCTACTGTGATACACAGGGAGGTCACTGTGAGTCGGGGTCAACAATGTGACAGTAATGGGGGCATTCGAGTGGAGGGGGGAACCACACTGCACTCTGGATCAGTGGTTGTCCTTACAGTGGTCCTGGGGTCTCCTGCCTCCAATGCACATCTGCCCACAGTTCTTGGCTTGGCACAGCCCAGCCCTCACCTCGGAGTTTGTGGCGTTGTTCCCGGCGCTGGTGGATGCCAGCACTGCTGTGGAGATGTTCCATGCTCTACTGGACCTGCCGTGTCTGACCGCAGCCCTGGACCTGCAGCTCAGGTGAGCCCCCAGCATGGTGGTCCCCTTAGCAGGCTCAGGGTGACCGGTTCCTGCCTCCCGTCCCTCCAGCAGCTGGGGGCATGGGGCAAACCAGCCCTCTCTTCCTGAGCCACATCTCCACCTCCCAGGTCATCCCCAGCAGCATCGGAGAGGCCTCTATGGGACGTCTCCCTGCAGCCCACCAACTGTCTGTGGGGCTTCCGGGACCCCCAGTTCCAGGGCCTCTTCCAGTACCTGCTGCGAAGCAAGGCAGGTGGCACTGCACACAGGTACGGGTGAGAGGTGGCGCCCCTTGTGGGTTCTGAGTGGGGCAGGCAGCTGTCACTTATCATTGTCCTCTTCCCACTTGCTGCGTCTGCCCAGCACCCCATCTTCAGCCTCCTCCTCTGTCTGTAATCCCTCAGCAACCCAGGGGTGGAGGTACATAGACCCCTGGCCCTCACCCTGTTGGCCTGCTGCCCTCCCCGACTTGAAGCATGTGGGGTGTCTCAGAAGTGGGGTGTGGGCACTGTGTGACTGTGGTGTCCCCAGGATGGCCCCACTGCACTGCCTGCTGCAGCCCATGGCTGGCTGTGCCCGAGTGCTCCAGTGTGCTGAGGCCGTGCCCACCCTGCTCCAGGCGTTTTTTGCGGCTGTGACCCCCGTGAGTCCCCAGCCCTGTTATCCTGTTACCCCTGGGGCTACCAAGCCCAACGAAATTCACTGCCCAGGGGCTGCAGACCCCACCCCAACAGCATCTTCCTACTCCAGTGCATAGAGGGGTCACCTGGGAGAGCCACCCCCAGCAACTCCCGGATGGTCTGTCTGCAGGTGGCTGATGGGGCCCTGATGGCCCAGCTAGCGCTGGCACTCCTGGAGAGAAGCAACTCCCTGCCCCATGTGCCGCAGTATGAGGCTTGTGTGCACAGGTAGGATCCTATCGGCTGGGAACCCCCAGCATCTCTGGGTGGAGTCCAGTTTTCCTGGTCCAGGCTGACCTTTGACATGGCCCTTCTCAGGCCCCTCTTCATGCTTATTCTAGAATTTTCTAGAATTTTCTCCCATCCCTCCTTTCAAGTTTTCTGGAGGGCTGATACACTCAACTTGTTCCTGTCACACTCGGGCAGGAACAGAGGCAGCCCCTATGAGATGTCCCATTAGGGGACGGGGCCATCCTGTGGCCCCAGCTTGAGGGGGGTTCCTTAATTAATGGCTTTTGGCAGAGTAATGAGCTCGCAGCTCCTGGTGCTATTCAGACTACGTCCAGCGCTGGTGGTCGAGCTGGCCAAGGATCTGTTGGAGTTCGTGGGGAGCGTGAGCGGTACCCGCAGCCAGGAGCCCATGTTCACAGCTGTGGTAAGGCACTGCCTAGCCCGGCCTCCAGCCCCTCCGGTCGGCAGGACTTGACTGAGGCTCCATCTTGGTCTAGGTGTGGGCGGTCGGTGAGTACCTGGCAGTGCCTTATGACCGGCGCTGCACTGTGGAGCAGGTCAACAAATTCTTCGAGGCCCTGGAGGCCCTGCTTTTCGAGGTCACCCAATCCCGCCGCTCAGCTGCCCGTCCTGAGTGCCCACCACAAGTTGTTGCTGTCCTCATGACCACACTGACCAAGCTGGCCTCTCGCAGCCAAGACCTGATCCCCAGGTAGTGAGGTGGTGGGGGAAGCATGAGGAGGGGGCTCTCTCCCCATCAGGTGTGCTAAAGAGCTGTGACCCCCCCCCCCAGGGTCTCCCTGCTCCTGTCCAAGCTGCGGGCCCTGCCCCAGGCTTCGGTGGCATGCTCCGGAGATGCGGATGGGGATGCCGTCTGCAGGAGGGCCACGGAGCTCACCAACCTCCTCAAGATGCCCAGCGTGGCACAGTTTGTGTTCACACCGGGTGTGGGGGCCAACACCCACCATGTCACCACTGCCCTGCGCACAGTCAGCCGGCTGGTGGACAGGGAGGCCAACCTGCAGACATCGTGAGGGCCGTGCAGTGGATGGGGAACCAGGACCCATGGCTTCGTCTCCACCCTCATCCCTCCTGTTGTGTGTCCTTGTTTCTGGGCCCGAGAGGACAATCTGTCTACTCAATTGCACTTCCCTGATCCAGGGAGGACAGACCATGCGATAACCAGCTAAAGGAGAGGAGACAGGATGTGGACTCGCAGCCCTGTTCACTGGTTCCTGCGAGTTTGCTGTGGGGTGAGCAGGTCTGGAGTTTACTAGGCACCAAGGAGTGCCACAGCTCCTCAGGCCACACTGCCCAGTGACCATATGTTTCTCAGACTGGGGAAACCCCACTTCTCACCCTGCAGGCACCAACTCCAGGACAGAAAGTTAAGTTTATTGGCTCTGGTCTCCAGAAAGTCTGTAAACACAAGGGCTCTGTACAAACCCCACTGCCCAGTGTCTGTATAAATAACGAGTGAGGGACGGTACCACACTAGGAACGGGGTGCTCGGAAGCGGACCTTCCTCGCTGTCTCCACATCCGACTTAGCCACCAGAAAGCGCACCTTGTTGGCTCCATTCCGGATCAGGTCCACGGCTCTGCAACCAGAGACGGGCAATGGTTGTGCCACCAAGGTAGTGGAACTGTACCCTGTTCACATTCCCCTCTTGAAGTAAGTATGTGAAGAGGTTTCACAGCCCAAGGACCCAGGCAGAGTCCTGCTCAGTTGGCCTCCACCACCCCTAGAGCAGGGCCATTGCCCGGGCGAGCCAGCTCCAGGGTACATGGGGGTAGAGAGGGTGGGCTAGTACCTCAAATAGCTGATGCCCACCAGACTGGTGCCATCCACATCCAGGATGCGGTCCCCCAGCGAGAGGCGCCCATCACAGGCTGCAGGGCTGCCAGGCAGGAGCGTCTGGATGTACAGGCCAGGGACACCCAGGGGAGTGTGCTGTGGATGGAGCAGAAGCCTTGGCTACAGGAGCCCAGTGGACACAGGCCCTCCGTCCCCCCACGACTGACCCCAAGGGTCTCCCCGTATACTCACCATGCCATCCACCAGGCCCATACCCAGCCCGGAGGGGCCCCTCTCTAGTTCCACAACCACCACGGAGGCTGCGCACGGGGTGTCAGGGCTGGAGCTGCAGGTGGAGGGTGCCTCTGAGGAAGCCTCGGGGTCTGCTGTGTGGCGAGCATTAAGAGGGGCTCAGGGGTTGCTATGCATGGTGGACGTGGTGTAGGCACCCCCACAGTGAGTCCTGTTGCCCAGGTGTGTTCCTCAGACCTCACCTGCAGTCCTCAACACCCTGTGGGGGAGGGACTTGCAAGCAAGCTCCTTTGGGACTCACCCTCCTGTCTGGACCCTGAGGCTACCTTCATAGGTAGCCTCACCTTACCTTTCAGGACCCCATTCCAGGGGTCGCTTCTCCTCCCTTCCAGGGGCACCTTGCCACCAGGCATGGGCCAGTCCTGGGTAAGGGGTTCAAGGCTGAGTGGGGTGCTGGGTGGTGTCAGTAGACATGAAGTATCTGTGGGTGGTGGACCCCCACGACTGGGCTGTCTGCTCCTGCCACTGGGCCCCCTGGGGGCGTGCTGGCCATCAGGGGGACCCTCGGGAATACTGTGGTACAAACCCTGGGAGAGAAAGGACAGGCAACCGTTTGTTGGCAAAACAGACAGGGAAGGAGCGGCCCTCGTCTCGGCAGGTCTGCCCTTTCTTGGAACCTCACCCCCATCCCAGCTCTACTCTGGGAGGGGATTCCAACCTCTGTGTAATTGGCTCACTGTCCCAAAAGACCAGTCAGGGCTCTAGTGGACAGCAACAGGAAGACAGCTGCTCCCAGGGCACCACCCACCACTTCTAGTTGACTGATTCAAGGGATTGATCCAAGGGACTGCCACCTGACCCAAGCCAGCCAATCAAAAGCTTCCCTGGGCCTTAAGCCATTTCTTTTTTTCTAAAGGGGCGCCTGGGATGGGCAGAACTGTCTTCCGCTCTGGTCAGAAGGCCCCACAACAGGGATTCTGGGGGGCGGGTTCTCAGGCACCTCCCCCTGGGTTGTTGAGGGTGAGCAGGGGTTGGTGGTGAGAAAACCATGAGGCCCCCAGTCATGTAGCCAGTCAGTCACTGTGGACAAGTGAACCCCAAAGTTCCCCTGCCTGCTGCCATACCTCCAGGCACTCTGGGGGCGGGGGTGCACTTCCAGGGCAGGCTCTGCTCTGTAGGCCCCACAGAAAGTGGCGGACGTAAAGAAGGTGCTGGTAGATGCTGTCATCCACCTGGTCCACCTCCAGGTCCAGCTCCACCTGGAAACCATCACTGGGCAGAACAATGGGCGGGGGATTCTCGTACGACTCCAGGACATCGTCTGTGGAAGAAGATCGGGGGCCATTCCTACACTAGGCTCCTGGGCTGCAGCAGTGCGGACAGGCTCTGGGGTCCCAGATCCAGGTGGGTAATGGGCCACCTGAGCAGCTCTTTTACTGAGGACTTGTGTTTCTTTACATGTTGTAGCACACATAGTACTAACACAGGTGGACACATCGATGGGCTCGGGGAGGGGGTGCCGTGGAGTCAGATCCCACTCAGCAACCCTGTACAGAGTTTGGGTTTCCGAGGCTATAAAATTATCTCCCGTGGAATGGCTGGTAATTTCCAACTGCTAATCTTGAGGTACCAGCCCAACTCATAACCACTATGCTACCAAAGCTCCTTGGACACTTCTATAGTATACAACATACACAACGTGTATGTGCAGACCCAGTGCGGAGACCTCCTTGCCCACTGGGGAGGGACTAAGGGGGCCATGAGAACAGAGATAGTCAACCTGAGCCTGAACTTGGGCACTTGGCTACACTGGGGGACACCTCAAGCGAGGTGTGGGGTCCTTGTGTTCACATAGACCAGGTTCCTGTACTCCCACATCCAGAAACAGGTAGGGGCCTGGCTTCCTGGCCACTGTGTGCCCTGCCCCCTCTAATGCATGCTCACCAGACTTGCAGGCATCAGGGCAGTCGGGGGCGCCTGGCTCCCAGGCACTGGTGGGGCCCATGGCAGAGGCCAGCTGGTACTGGGTCAACAGCCGGTGGAGTTGCGCAGGACGCAAGGCAGGGAAGGTGGCCCGCAGTGTGGCCCAGGTCATCTAGCCGACAAGGAGGAGCCTGGGCAGTCATCTAAGGGCTTATGGAGTCTCGAGACTGGGGTGGGCCACCCTGTCACAGTGTCCCCAGGTGAGCTCCCAGGTCCCTCCCCCAGCCACTGGAGGTGGGGAGGATGTGCATGCTGTAAGTCGTCCTAGGAGCTAGGAGATTTCTTGTGCTGAAGTGAGGTCCACATGCTCACCACCCCGCCTACCTGGACAAGCTGGGCACTGGGCGTGGCCAGCAGGTTGAGCGTGCAGGAAAGCTTCCGGAAAAACTGCTCGCCTGCAGCTCCAAGGCCAGCACCCCTCACCCACTCCAGGAGCTGCTGCAGGCGAGCAGAGGCCAGCACCCCCTGGGGCCAGTGGAAACAGCTCAGCGACGGACCTGGGGGACATGGGGACATGTCCACCTGCGTCTCCAGGGTACCGCCTCCCCCCCAACCTGTCCCCATGTCACCCCCCTGCCCCCGGGCAAATCTGAATGGGCCTTGCTCACCCTTGTCCAGGAGCTGGTTGAGCAGCAACGTGCCGGAGAAGAAGAGCAGGTAAGCCAGCATCTGCGCTGCGATTTCAGGGTGCACCCGGAACTGCCGCAGGAGGTCCAGCGTGGCCTGGTAGACAGACACGACGCGGCGTAGCTCCTCGGGGAGACACGGCCCAGGGCTCCAGCTCTCACGGCGCTCCACCGGGAACGGGGGGCATTCCAGCAGAGCCGGGAGGCAGGCATACAGGGACTGAGGGGCCGCACACCGACTCCTCTTACTCCAGGGCTGGGCGGGGATTCCGGCCCAGCCTGTCCCGGGGCGCGGCCGGTAGGGGCACAAGGCGTACCTTGGAGATGTAGTATACACACTGCTGGAAGGCATACAGCACCACCTCCTCCAGCACCCCCATGGCCTCCTCGCTGGCCGTCAGCACGCATGACAGCAGGGACTCCTTTGAGCCTGCAGGGAGAGCAACACGCAGTGACCCCTGGGGGAGCATGAAGACAGCAGCCCAGAACTTCATGGGTGTGGAAATGGGAACAGAACAGAGAGCCGCCTCGGGAACCACGTGTGGATGAGGTGGGGGCTCCAGATGTAGTCTCATATCCTGGCGCTTCCACACAAGCTAGAGAATGTGTGGGGAGGTGCTGACCGCCCCCTCAGACACTGGGGTGCCCCAAGCTCAACCACAGGTTTCTGAGGCCACGGAAAGGCACTGTTGCTGCTCACAGGGCACAATGCTCTCCCACAACGCTCCCCACCCCAGTGTGCTCCTGTTGTGCCGTCTCATGATCCCCTGGGCCACTGGGTGCCTGCCCCAAACCAAAAACACCCCCTGAGCCAGATGGCCAGTGGGTAAGCTGCCACTCTGCACTGGGCTGGCCACTCCCCCGTCAAATGCCCATGTCCCAGACCCAAAGGTTCCGCAGACAGAGATGTGACTGGCTGTGGGGATGCCCTCCGGACTTCACACTCTCCCCATATTTGGACCCCCACAAAACAGGTCAGGGTGGCCAGAAGCCACCTGAGAGTATGCTGAGGGGAGCTTTGGTCCCCAAAGCCCTGGGAATGGGGGCTGACGGGGCCTCCTAGACGCAGGTGGTGTGCATATGACACACCCACAGCAGAGGCTGAGCCCACCAGGTCCTGAAAGATGGACGCCCACCTCCTGAGGTCCACACGTCTTCATACTCACACGCCCAGCCTTGAGACAAGGCTGAGCAGACCAGCAAGACTGCTCAGCCCACTTGGCTACTCCAGGGGCAGGTGCCCTTGTCCCACTTTCCCTCAGGGCTAAGGCCTCTCATGGGTTCAGCTCAGCCCATGGGAGTGGGGCCAGGACCTGTGAGGACAGAGCTTGCCCCAAGGACCAGATGCCAAGGCACCCCCTTCTCTAAGGAAACCCACACACCAGGCATTGGGGTTGCTGTATGGCCAGGACCTCACACCTGTGCTTTCCCCAGGTGGCATAGCTGGCAGTCTCCACCCATACCGCTAGATCCTTCCTTGGTCCCTGCCGACAGCCCCCACACAGGGACACAGGGGCCTGCTTGGCTGAAGGGCCTGGGAGAGGATAGGACTGTAGGGCCGCAACAGGGCAGAGTTAGGGTGAAACCAAGGTCGGCCCCCAGGACCCTGAGGTCATCTTGTGTCCCTTGAGAGGTCCGAGGCACATTGTTTCTACTGTCCTTGAACCTGCCCTCACACCACCCCCAAAACCCCCCATGTACTACAGAAACTCCTCTTGGTCCCCTACTCCATGGGGACCCTGCCTTCCTTTGCACCCTTGCCAGAGACTCTTCCTCCTTAGCCCTCCCATGCACCTCAGAGAACCCCCCCATGGAGACCCACCTGCACTCAGGCTGCCTCCTCTGTGAAGCCCTCCCACACCAACCAGTCAAAATCCTGAGGCATTCCTTTTCTGCATCAATGGCAGGATCCCTGCAGCAGGCTGGCTGCACACGGGATGCCTCACCTGCGGCATCCAGGGCCTCCTCCATGGTCTGGACGAAGTGCGGGCACCGCTGCTGCAGGAAGAACAGCAGCTCCACAGCGTTGGCCATCCAGAACAGGAGGTGCTGCAGGTCGGGGGCCAGCTCGGCCACGGTCACGCTCCACAGGGCGGCCGGCTCCTGGCTGCCGGGCAATACCAGATGGTAGGGCTGGGCCCAGGCCAGTGGGACACCGCATCCCCTGTGCTGCCCACTGCAGGGCCAGCCTGAGAAGTCTGTACATTCAGATAGTGCCATCGAGCCCAAACAGTGCAGTGGGTGAAACAAACCCACCAGCCCTTCCCTGGGAGCAAAGTGAGGCTGTCTGCTTCCGGAAAGATTTATAGCCTCGGAAACCCTACGGAGGGTAGCTGGGACGCAATCGAGGGGATGGCAGCGGGGTTACAGATGTGTACAGTGAGGAGCCTTGGCAGCGCAATGGTAAAACCAAAAGGTCAGTGGCTCAACCACAACAGTGGCTCCGAAGAAGAAAGAACTGGCGAAGGATCTGCTCCCATAAAGCTGAAAGCCCGAGGAGCCCAATGAGCAGGTCACGTGGGGTCACGACGAGCCGGAACCCACCCACCAACAACCACATGCACACACGTGGTGACCAGAGACCGCAACAGAGCTGAGCGGGACTCACCCGTCCCTGCACGGCCCTGGGAAAGGACTCTCTGGCAGAAGACAAGCTGCCAGGGCCAACAGAAGAGGTGTTGCTAAGAACAAGAATGCAGGCTCCAATGAGCTGGTTAACTCTTTCAAGATGGAATTCTCTTCTGTTTTGGAGTTTTTGTTGAAACCCTATGTTTTCATCAATTTTGAGGTAATATGGATTTAGGTATACTTGAGATAATACGAATTTAGGTACACTTGTGAAGTCCTGTTGAATCAGTTCCAACCCACAGGGACCCTGTGTAGGGTTTCCAAAGAGCAACAAGTGGGTTTGAACTGCCAACCTTGTAGTGACATATATGTCCCGGGGTGGCCCTGGTGCTGGGGTTGGGGGGATGAGACCCCCACCAGGTGGCAGCACACACTAAAAGTGCAATGTAGAATTTCCACAGGTGGAAATCGTTGGTGGGAACTTTGGGTCATGAAAGGGCTAAGCAAAAAAGAGAACAAAAAACAGGTAATACTATTAAAACCCAAACCCAATGTCATCAAATTGGTTCCAATCCAAGGCAGCCCTGTAGAAGGTTTCTGAGGCAGTAAATCTTTATGGAAGCAGAGGCATCTTTCTCCCATGGAGTGGCTGGTAGATTTGAACCTTCAACCCTGTGGTTAGCAGTCCAATGTGTAAACATAGTTCCGTCTCATAGTGACCCTGTATAGGGTTTCCGAGGAACAGCTGATAAGTTTGTGGTTCTGACCAACCTTGAGGTCCAGTGCTTATCCTACAGCACCACAACAGGACTCCAAGTAATACAATGGTGGTGGTGGTTAGGTGCCGTGGAATCGCTTCTGACTCATAGCGACCCTGCACAGGGTTTCCAAGGCTGTAAATCTTTACGGGAGCAGAAAGCCTCCTCTTTCTCCTGCAGAATACTGACCTTGAGGTTAGCAGCCCAACTCACCTACTTACTACACTAGCAGAGCTCCTTAATTAGTATGTTGTTAAGTGCTGTCGAGTCGGTTCTGACCCATGGTGATCCTGAACAGAGTTCCCAAGCTGCTGGTGAGCTTGAACCACCAACCTCGTGGCTCAAATCGACTTTGCAGTCCAGCACATTAACACACAGCGCCACACCAGTAGTACAGCTAAGCTAGTCCACTCCACAAAAGCAGGACCTCAGAGGACCACATCTAAGGTCGATAAACCCAGAGACAGCCCTGGGTTCCCGCAGTGGTGAATGTGTTCAGCGGCTACCCAAAAGGCTAGCGGGCACAGGTCCTGCAGAGGCGCTTCTGAAGAAAGCCGAGCAGTCACTGAGATCCCTCAGAGCACAGCCACAAGACTGCCAAGAATTGGGGTCGACCCAAAAAGAGCACGTGATGTGAAGACAGAAACCACAGAAAAGCTCAAAGCAACCCCAACTAGTAGGAACCCCCTAGAGATGGGGGTAGTGTGGGGTGAGGGCCCGCATCATAAACCCTCGAACATCAGAACAAAGAAAAAGATTTTACAATAGAGACTACTCTAAAAAGAGCAACTTAAATAGCACCTTGAAGCTAACCACAAAGATACAACAAAAATAATCATAGTTTTCAAAGAAATGTACAAATCCTTAATCACAGTGGGAAAAGTAGCTGTTTCTCTCTGAATCGGAGCTTAAACTGACCAAAAACAATAGGGTGAGGTGGAATGAACAAGTGATAAACATGATCTAATAGATGTGTGCTCAACTCTGCAAATACAGTGACTGAATATTCTCGGTGGCCCTGCGGGATATGCACTAGACTATAAGGTCAGCGGTTCAAACCTCGCCAGCCACTATACAGGGTTGCTATGAGTTAGAACTGACTTCGCACTTAACAAGAACAAGTACACAAAGAATGTTTACAAAATAATTCACAAACTACCCAACAAAGCTGAAACCTTACAAATTGTATTTCTAATCATGCTATTGTTCGAACTTCCACACACAGCAACGCCATGGGGTGGCTTGCGCAGGCTTTTCCCAGGTGCCTTTCTATAGGAGATCAGCAGGCCTTCTGTGGAGCCACTTAACCAGTGTGCCACCAGGGTTCCGTACTGCTAATCATGATCCCTCATCATAATGCAATAAAATATACTCAAAACTGCAGCAGAAAAGCAAATGCACTTAGAAACTCAATTACATAACTTTCAAAATAACTCATGCACCATGGAAGAAAGGACCTGGTAATCTGCTCCCATGAAGACGTGTGGTGGTTGGGTTCTGTCGCGCACAGAGCAGAAACGCTGTAACTGTTTGAAAGCAGGTTGCCAAGCCTGTCTCCAGGAAACCTGTGATGAGTCCCAGCCACCAACCTTTCACTAGACCTACTCATCACACATGGGGTTCCCCAGGACACAAAATCTATTTCCTTGTCACAACAGCAACAATCCTATCTATTAAACTGTCAACACATAAATGACAAAAAACACAAGTACAGACATGTTGTTGTTGTTATGTGCCATCGAGTCGGTTCCGACCCATAGCGACCCTGTATAGGGTTTCCGAGGGTGTAAATCTTTACGGGAGTAGAAAGCCTCATCTTTCTCCCACGGAGCAGCTGGTAGTTTCGAACCGCTGACCTTAAGGTTCGCAGCCCGATTCGTAACCACTATGCTACCAGAGCACATGTTAGAGGTGAGGAAAAATTCACCAGAGAATAATATAGCAATGTTATGACAGCAACTCTGAAAACATGCACTAAGTACTTTTGTAGGAAAGTGAAAATCGTCAGAGTGACCACAGGAAGAAGCTGGAAACTGGAGTGACCCTGTCATCCCTCCCCTGAGCCATCAGGCCACACAGTTTGACCTGCCAGTTTCAAGGTCCACAGACCTCTTAACTAAATTTTTTAAAAATCCCAAACCCACTGCTGTTGACTCCATTCTGACTCACAAGGAACTTGCAGGGCAGAGTAGAACTGCTCCATAGGGTTGCTGAGACTGTAATCGTCTAGGAAGCAGATTGCCACATTCTTCTCCCTAGGAGCAAGCTGGTGGGTTCAAACCTCCAACCTTCTGATCAGCACAATGTATAACTTGCCATACCGCCAGAGTTCCTCAGGGAACCTTTAAAACAAAAACAAGCTCACTGCCATGGAGATAATTCCAACTCAAGCAATCCTACATAGGGTTTCCCGGTTTCTGTCAATCTTTACGGAAACAACCAGTCTCATCTTTATCCTGTGGAGTGGTAGTGGATTTGAACCCAACACCTAACCCACAGCGCCAGAGCCCTGACTCATACAAACAGACCCAGAGAAAATAAAGGTGGTTTCATTCATTTTTGTGCAACCCTGTTATTGAAATTAAACAAGGCCAACAGAAAACTCAAAACAGACAGGCACTTCTCCTCTGAATGCAGGTGGGTGCATCCTCAGGGAAGAGAGAGACAAACCAATACATCTAGCGGTGTGGTGGAAAAGCAATCAACCAATAGTGGCGTCAGGATTCATCTATATCAGAAATCCTCCTAATGTGAAGCCCCACCATTCCAAACCAAAGGAAAAAAAAACATCAGATGAGCACAGATGCAGAGAAAACGTTTCAAAAACTGAGGGTCCCTGGCAATTCAAAAAGAATCACACACACATCTGCTACAAAACCAGCCAGCATTGGCAGCCTGTGGTGGTGGCTGTAGCTGCTGGGTGGCACTCAGTCTTGATGTGTCACTGTTTTCAATGACTTGCTGGGGATGTAAACAGGATGTTTTTAGGCCCCACAACATAAGTTTTGGGAAACTCAGTTTGAGTGAGCAGTACAGGGTGTGGTTCTGCCTTCTCCCAACCTAGAGGCAGAGTCCATGGGGTCCACAGGGCAGACCCACAGTGGCCGGGCACCGGGATGGGGACTTCCAACTGCATGTGCCTGAGCACTGGAGGCCCAGGCAAGGGCACTCCTACAATCCCAGCTGTCCTGACCTGGGCACCTGCAGGTTCTCCTCCTACCCCAGAAAGATGAGGCCCCCAGTGAGGTACCCATACCACGGAGGTGTGCTCCTCCCTTATGTCGAGTCCCACAGAAGAGAAGCTGGGGTCTGGGTGGGAGGTGCCCTGAAGGGGATTCTACTCTGTGAATGAGGAGACTGGGGAGAACGTGGCATGCTTTATCAACAGCCAAGTCCCTACATACGGAGAATGAAAGCAGTCCTTGCACAAACTCCTTGGTGCCGCCACTGAATCCAGCTGCCACCCGAGTCCTCCCCAGAGCTCGCCTGTCCAGGTGTGTCCAGGTGTGTCACCACACCCATTAGCATTTGGAACAGCAAGCTCAGTTCTGAACGTTAGCTAGGTAGCTACTTACAGTCCTTCCCAGGGCCTCTCGACACCATGCTGAAAGCCCATGGCCATCCCCACTGCTCAGGGTCCCTGGATAGGGGCTGCCCTTACCCTGCCCCAGGCCTGGCCTTTCCAGGGTGGGCTCTTGTGTCTCCTGACACCACAGGAAGGTGTCCTAGTTTAGGGCACACTCAAAGGGGACCATGGGACATGGAACTTTCAAACTCACAAATCAGCTACTCACTCACTACTGTGGAAATTGACTCACAATGACACTGTAGAACAGAGTAGAATTAACTGCTCCTATGTGGTGCTGTGGGCTAATGCATCACACTGCAAAGTTGTTTGAACTGCAAGGTCAGCGGTTCAAGTTCACCAGCTTCTCCTTGGAAATCCTACACAGGGTTGCTATGGGTCAGAATCAACTCGACAGGACTTAACAACCAAAGGAGCGCTGGTAGCATAGTGGTTTCAAGTTGGGCTGCTAACCTCAAGCTGTTCCAAGGGAGAAAAATGAGGCTTTCTGCTCCCGTAAAGATTTACAGCCTCGGAAACCCTATTCAGAGTCGCTATGAGTTGGAACCAACTCCACGGCACACTACCACCACCACCAATGTCTCCTTAGAGGCCAAGATGGCGAAACTTCATCTCTCATACTTTGGACATGTTATCAGGAGAGACCTGGAGAAGGACATCATGTTTGGTAAAATGGAAGGTCAGTCAAAAAGAGGGAGACCCCCAATGAGATGATTGGCACAGCAGCAGCAGTAATAGGCACAAGTGTAGCAATGATTGTGAGGACAGTGCAGGACCGGGAGGTGTTTCATTCTGTTGTGCATCAGGTTACTGTGAGTCAGTACCTACTCAATGGCACTAAAGAAGAGAAAATTTTTCCATGGTTGTAAGTCTTTACAGAAGCAGTCTGTCTCCTCTTTTTGCCATGTAGCAGTTGATGGGATTAAACCGCTGACCTGGTGGTTAACAGCCAAGTGCTTAATCCATAGTGTCACTCGGACACCTCTAACAATCTGTTAGGGAGGAGGACTGCAGTCCCACTCTGGAGTGCAGGCCTCCTGTGGGGCCGTCACAACTTGGCCCAGGATCGGGCAGTGTTTCGTTCTGCTTGTGCATAGGGTCGCTGTGAGCCAGTACCAACTTGATGGCAGCTAACAACAACAGAAGCGGGTGGGTTTCAATGCAGGCGTTGGGGAGGGACGGGAAGGCTCCGCTAGGTCTTCCCAAGCCTGTGGCAATATTTCCCATGGCACAGTACTTCCCCTTCCGGTGAGAAGGCAAGAGTGGGGGCAGTTTGACCCAGAGCAAAGGGGGAGGTTTGTGACCCGGCCTACTTACAGTTGAGCCTGCTTCTCTGCAAGTTCTTTCGTTTTCTCCTACAATCATAAGGGAAGAAAAAGTCAGCATGTGATCAGCAAGACAACCCAGGACCTACTCAGTGGGGCCCCAACACATACAACAGCTACAAAAAACAAGGCCCTGTACCCCACGAAACCAAACCAAATCCACTGCCATTGAGTCAATTCCAACTCCTAGAGACCCTATAGGGCAGAGCCGAATGTCCTCTTAGTGGGTTCTGAGACAGTCTCCTCGAGAGCAGACAGTTTCAACTTTCTTCCACAGAACACCTAGTGGGTTTGAACTGCTGACCTTGCAGTTAGCAGTCAATGCCTAACCCACAGGACCACCAGGACTCATCTGTGGCCCCCAGACCCCAGAATTTGCTGTTTATATCAGCCAGGCTGGAAAGACCAGGGTCCAATCTGCATTAAGACCATCCAGTATATCATTATATCAGGGAGTACGACCTGGAGCAGGAATATTCCACAACCTTCAACACTGAAAACCCAGCCAAAGTGGTTCACAAATGTTAGAAGGAAGACCAGGCTCACACATATTGTGCAGCCCAACAGGGCCCTTATGGAAGGCAGGCCCTGATAAAGAGACAAGGGACTGTGTATGAACATGAGTAAACACTATCTCCCACGGGGACTCGCTGGGCCACATTCTGTCTCTGAGTCAGGACACTGCTCTTTAGGGTTGAGTCTGCGCAGGTTTAGGTATGCTGCTCACATGTGCAGGACGGGAGTAGACCACGAGGGGTTAGACCCAGGAGGCACATGCACAAGGAAGCCAATGGGGAACAGGGGCATAGATTCCAGGTAAGGTACATGTGGGCCAGAACATAAGACACAGAGGGTATGGGGGGATACAGAGCATATGGGGGGACACAGAGGGTATGGGGAAATACATGGTATGGGGGGACAGAAGGTATTGGGGGACACAGAGGGTATGGGGGACACAGAAGGCATGGGGGACATAGGATGTGGGGGACACAGACGGTATGGGAGGACACAGAAAGTGTGGGGGATACAGAGGGTATGGGGGGACACAGAGGGTGTGGGGGATACAGAGGGCATGGGCAGACATGCCATGGGAAGCAAAGATCAAACTGGAGGTGTACTAACACCGGGGCATGGGGTCCCCTCCCCTCTGTGACCAGGAGCCCTGGTGGCACACTTGTTAAGTGCTGAGTTGCTAGACCATAAGGTTGGCAGTTCCAACCCACCAGGCACCCCTCTGCCCCCATAAAGATGAGAGCTTTGGAAACTGTAAGGGGCAGTTCTCCTCTGTCCTACAGGGTTGCTGCACCAGAATCCATCAATGGCCATGGGTAACAGTAAACACCGGTGAGCCGAGTCTCCATGTTTGTGACTGTCCACCCCTTGGCACTGTGGGTTAATGTGCCAGACTGCAAAGCCATTTGAACTGCAAGGTCAGCAGTTCAAACTCACTAGTTGCTCCTCAAAATCCTAGACAGGGGCGCTATGGGTTGGAATCGAATGGACAGCACTTCACAACAACAACAAACCCTGGGGGTAAGGGTAGGCGGCTCCACATCTTCCCACTGAGGCCCAGGAAGCTCTAACTTCCAGGAACGCTTCCAGTAAAAAGCCAAGTGGCCTGGCCCCCACCACCCTTACAGGAGGCTCTGGCCGGGGCTGTGGAAGGCCGCTGGGATGGCCAGGACTGCAGAAAGCACTCAACAGCCTGAGACATCGCAGGGTAGCAAGGGGTCCCGATAATACCAGAATGGGTGATAGCACTCCTACCAGGGAAGTGAGCTGAAGCAGACCCCAGGGCCCCTAACCTCAGCCGCCCCCATTTCCTGGTGGAGCAGACATGGACGGCCAGGCCCCTGGAAGAAGCTCAGAGGTGGCAGGAAGTTGGGGAGAGACCCCTGCCCCTGTGACTGACCCAGACCATATCTCGGATGGCCCCAGCCATCTTCAGCAGAAGCTGGCCAAAGGCGCCAGGCCCGAAGCAGGCCGCGGCGTGCTGGACACAGAGGCACAGCAGGAAGGCAGGTGTCAGCTTGTGGTCATCGCCCGCTGGCTCCACCAGCGTCAGAATCCGCTGCAGCAGCACATCCTCCTGTGAAGGCTCAAAGGCCAGGTGCAGCCGCCGCCTGATAGGCTCAGGGCCGGGCTGTGGAGGCCGGGTGGTCCCTCGGGCACCGAGTGCAGCCCCACACAGGCGACAGTTCCGTGGGGCAGCCCCAAGGTGGGCCAGGGCCTGGACAGGCAGTGGCTGGGCCTGCAGTGGGTCTTTGAACAGCAGCAGGTAGTAAAGGCCCAGGGAGAGCAGATCGCCATGGTGCAGCTCCACAGGGCGGCTCCCAGCCTTCGTGAAGTTCACGGCCACAGGGGCGCCCTCGATGGGCTCCAGCACTAGTATGCTTGAGGTCGGGCGGCTCAGGCGCCGGTGTCGGCGGATGGTGCAGTGCAGCGGCAGGATGTCAGGTGCCACCAAGCTGATGGTGGGCCGGCTGGCAGGTGTGCGCTGGCCCACTGTATGCAGGTCCCGGTTCAGCACATACACCAGGCTGTCCTGTAGGCCAAGGACAGCGGGACATAGGAGGGAGGGTGGTCTACGTCTACTCACTGACTCACTGACCCATAAAACCTGCCCCTCCCTGGGCACCCACTGATGATCCCTGGATTGGGGAGTGGTCTCAGAGGAGCCCAGGGTGCACTGAAAACCAGGGACAGGAGGCTGGGAAGAACCGTGGGAACAGAAACCAGCTTCCCAGGGCTCAGGCACATGCTGCCAATGTCCCCAACGATCCCAGCATGGACAGAGACTGGAGACCCCACATATCTTACAGCATCATCTGGACAAGAAGGGCCAGCAGGGTGGTGCTCCTGTCCCCCAGCCCCTTCTCCTGAGGTCCGGGCAAGCCTCACTCACGTGCTGCTGGCTGTAGCCCTGCAGAAGGAGCAGGTGCGGTGATTGGTAAAGTGAGTGTCGCATGGCACCTTCCTCTTCTGGGCCCCCAGTGTCCCGGGTCAGCTCCTCCGGGCCCGGGCTGGCTGGGAGCGTAGCATAATGGGGTCTGCTGGCATCTACGGGTGGGGCTGCGTTCAGGCTGGTCTCACTGAGGCTGCGGCGTAGGCAGGGCGGTGAGGGTCGCAGGATGCCCCTGGCTGTGCCCTTGGCCCGGGTCCGCTGGAGCCGCCGTGCCTGCGCGTTAATACCTGGAACAGAGAGAGTGGGCACTGAGGGGCACACACCCAGGACACTGCATAGCTCGCTGACTCATGGGGTGTCCCTAGTGGACAGGAGCCCTGCACACTGACCTTCTGCTCTAGGCCAGCCCATGCCCTCCCTTTAAAGTGTGTCCAGGAGCAAGCACCAAGGGAGTCAGAGGGCCCAGCCATCTCCTTAGCTACCACACTGTGACAGAGGCTCCAGCCTGCCTGCACTCACCATCCCCACCACACCAACAATGGGCCCCTGGCACTGAAACCTGTAATGCCCACTCTCCCATCCCACCTGGGCACCAAGTGGAACCTGAAGTGGGGGGCTCTCACTGTCCTCCCTGAGCCAGGTGGTTCCACGTCTCCCGCTAACCTGACACCCCTGTTCCAAGTACACATACACACATATACATAGGAAGCTACATAAACAGCCCACCCATGCATATGTCCACATGTAAACACATGCAGTCACACTGCATATGTCCCTGTTCATACGTGTGCACACGCATGCATGTGTGCCCATGCATATGCCCATAAGTCCATGTGCACAGACACGCAAGCACACCAATGCGTACATCCTTGTGCATACACATACACACACACACACACACACACGCACAAGTCCCCATGATACACCCATGTATGAGCACTGCATACACACACATACAATGCACACCCATGCATACATCTGTGTGTGCATGTGCACACATGCATACAGTCCATGTGTGCAGTATGTACACACACATGCATACAACCAAGTGTGTGCACATGCAGACACCTGTACACATGTGCTTGTACATGTGTCCATATGTGTACGCACACATGCGCGCGCACACACACTGCCCATGGAAGACTGAGACTCTTACAGACACAGGGAGCTGAGGGAAAGCTAACTAGCCTCCCCTCAGGAGCCTCTGTTATGTCCCCAGCCCAGCCCCCGCCTCCTCCCATTTCCAGCAGCACCAGCAGAGGCCGAGCTGTCAGCCAGCAGCGGGCATGGGAGCTTCGGAGGGAGAGGGAGGGGTGTCCAGAAGTGGTGTCTCCATGGGGGTGGGGGACAGGGTCAGCCATCCTTTCAGGATCTCGCTTTCACTCATCACATGGGGCTACACTGAAGGCAGCACACCACACCCCAGAATCCAGTGCGGGCACCTTCTAATCCAAGCTACCTCAGCCTCAGCCAGGAGCACAGCACAGGCTGCCTGCCCTTGAAGATGTCAGAGTCCGACCTGGACCCACTCCTGGGAAGCCTTCATCTGCTGCTGCTCAAAGTCATGGTGCCCAACCCACTGGGTCCAGGGGCTCTCCTGAGACCAACTGGGTCAGTTCAGGGGGTACAGAGGGCTGTGCGGGTAGGGCACTGGGACTGGTCGCTCCATCCTGCCCAGCAGGACACGTGGAGGCACACAAGGCAGTCATCACCCTGCTCTTCACTCCAGCAGCAAACGACCAGGACCAAACCCCCCAGCCAGACCCAAGCAGGAAGGGCCAGCCAGGAACAAGCCTCAGCTGCATGTGCACATATTGGTCACTGTCATCACATTTCAAATATTTCATCATGTGATGTCCACTTTCTCAACTACAATCCAGCACCAACATCACTCTTCTATGCACTGGGAAACCAAACCAGACATATGACTTGCTTGATCTGCATCTTTGTGCCAACAACGGTCTTTGTAGGGAGCCTTGCTGGCTCAGTGGTTAGGTGCTAGGTACAAATGGAAAGGTCACAGTTCAAACTAACCAGCCACACTTGGTAGGAAAACAGACCTGGTGATCCCTAGGAGACAGGTCTACTCTGTATTACAGGGCCGAGGTTGAGTTGGAATTCACTTGGCAGCAGTGGGTTTATAAGGTGGAGGGGACTAACATGGTGGTGAACAGAAGGGACTTGGTCTTTATGTGCAGTTTAGAAAACTCTAAACAAACATAAGAAACTGTTTTCACCTGTCAAGTCTGGGAGGTAGGCACCCAGATATTGTATGTGTATTTGTCTTTGTTTTATTTTTTAAATGTTTTCCAAAAATGAAAATTAAAAAAATCCCCACTGAGCAGGGAGTGAAGGCCTCCTGCTTTAGGAGGTGGACCCCCGGCAGGAAGCAGGAGTAGGGCCCTGGCTGGGGAAGCACCAAGGTGGCCTCAGATGGAGGCCATCTCTCTTGCTGCCTCCCACCTATCCCCACTTCTCCTCATCCAGGCACGCCCACTCCAAACAGAATAGGCCCTGCTGAAATCTTGGGCTGGGGATGGTGTGGGTGGGACACAAAGGGAGAGACACTCCTGTACCACTGTTGTCGTTGTGTCGTTTAGTTTGGCCAAGTCAGTTCTGATTCATATTGACTCTCAATAGGGTTTCTAAGGAGCAACTGGTGGTTTTGAACTGCCCAACTTGTGATCAGCAGTCCATTGCTCATCCTATAGTACCACACTGGTCCTCCCTACAATTAACCAGCCCCCAAAAATCTATCCCCACTGCCATTAGTTGATACCCATTCACAGCAACCCTGTAGGACAGACAGACTGCTCCAGATGATTTCCAAGGCTGTAAATCTTCATGGGAGCAGACTGGCTAGACTTTCTCCTGAGGATCAGTTGATGGATTCAAAATGACCTTTCGGTTAGCAGCTCAATGCTTAACCCGTGGTGCCACCACAGGTCATAAGCCCAGAACCCCTCAAAAGGGTGACGTGGCACACTTGGAGTTCATGCATTCTGAGGCTCTGGGCCATGTCCCTCTAGGCCTGTGGCTTTACTGGTGTGGTGGGAGCTTTCAGAGGAAGAGGGGTTTGTTTGTTCGGGGATCTTGGAGGGAGACTGCAGGGGCACCCACACATCCATCTGAAAAGTTCATCAGTAGGGTGAGATTCGGTCAGTGCTATAAAGTAAATGTGTCTGATTTAATGCAAACCAATTTTCTCTGTACACTCGCACCTAAACCACAATAAAAAAATAAATTAAAAGGTTATCCAGAATCCAGTGATTCACAGCAAATTAATTCTAAGGACGTAAAACATTTCCAGAAGATCAGACAAGTGGGAAAGGCCCCAAAACACCACTTGCTGGCGTCTACAAGGAGCTACAATCAATGAGGAAGTCCGACAGCTATCAGACATTCTGGTTCCACCTGCCTGCCACTTCAATGGAGCCCCAGACCCACAGAGTGTAGCTGTGACCATTCCCAGGGGTACGCTTTAGAGATGGAATCTGGGCCTCTTCCCAGCCTCCACAGAGTGTGGGCTCGAATGTGCCCTCTGCTAATCAGGATGCAGGACAGTGCCTGTGAACACAGCCGGGAGTGCCCTCAAAGCTACCACCCAGGGTCCCGTCTGGATTCAGAAAGCACTGGAAAGAAAAATAAGCTCTTTTCCGGAACACCACCAAGTTGTTCTCTCTAAAAATTAAACCTGTGGGTTCTCTTCCCACAATGGGGAGGTTTCAAACAACAGATGCACCTTGGGCAGTTTCTGTTGCATGCATCCATGGCCAATGCCAGACATGGTCTTAGAGAGGAGGGGATATGGGGCAGTGGGTGGGTTAGTAAGATATTCCTGCTTTAGGGAACTTTATTAGAATTCGGGAAAATGAGACTGTAGTTTATTAGAATTAGGGGAAAGGAGCCACTGCAGAATACCAAACATGTCTCCCTGAACTAGAATATTCTTTTCCAGGTTACAAAGGGCTCTAAGTGAATCAAGCAATCATAGAAATAAAATTATTCGAAGTGTGCAGAAGAGAAATGTGGCTGCTGTTGTGAGGTGCTGTCGAGGCAGTCTGGAGTCACCGTGAGCCTATGGACAACAGAACAGAACAATGCCCGGCCTTGTGCAGCCTGCTCCTAATGGCTGCTACAAAGAAACCTGTCCACCAGGAGTGAATATGCAGAGGGATCTGAAATACAAGGGAGCATCCCAAAGGACACGGGAAAATTCTCTTATCTTTAATTCCATTTTCCACACACTTCCTGAAGTCCTTCTGCACTGGTGGCACGGGTTCCAGCTTCACCAGCACACAGGGGTAGGATGGGTAAGCAGTAGCATATTCATACAATGGAATGAAATTTAGCAAAGAAAAGGAATAACAGGCTCTGAGCAAGAATATAAACAAATGTCATGTGTATTTCTTAGGCAGAGCAATGACAAGACACAAAAGAAACCATCAACCCCTTTGCTGCCACTTGGCCAATCCATCTCGTTGGGGGCCTTCCTCTGACCCTCCACCTTACCAAACATAAGTGACTGGTCCCTCTTGACAATATGTCCGAAGTATGAGAGACGAAGTCTGGCCATCCTAGACTCCAAGGAGCACTCTGGCTGCACTTCTTCCAAAATGTATCTATTAGTTCTTTTGGCAGCCCACGGCACTTCAATACATTCCTCCAACACCATAACTCAAAGGCATCAATTCTTCTACGGTCCTCCTTATTCACTGTCCAGCTTTCACATGCATATGAAGTTACTGAAAATACCATGGGTCAGGCACATCTTAGTCCTCAAGCTGACATCTTTGCTCTTCAACACTCTAAAAAGGTCTTGTGCAGCAGATTTGCCTAACGCAATACGTCCTTTGATTTTCTGACTGCTGCTTCCATGAGTGTTGATGGTTGATCCAAGAAGAATGAAGTCCTTGACAACTTCAATCTTTTATCCATTGATAAGAATGTTGTTTATTGGTCCACTGGTAAGGATTTTTGTTTTCTTTACACTGAGATGTAATCCATACCAAAGGCTGTGCTCTTTGATCTTCATCAGTAAATGTTTTAAGTCCTCT